TCAAAATTTAATCTTACAATAAATATTGAGTGAGATGAGCCTTTAAAAAATATTTGTGTATCAAATGTTCTTCAAAAGTAGTATATACATGGTGACAAAGGCTAATAATCAAATATTTTCCAAGACATGGTGCACTAATTTTTATTAAAATAAGTGAATAATAAAATAATGATGAAGTATAAGATCAAGAAAAACTTCAAGAGAATATCAAATTTGAGAGTGGATAAATACCTTCTTAGTTACTAGTTGTTAGAAGGCTTTGTACACAATAAGAAAAGAGAAACATTTTTTAATGACATAATATTTTTCAAACATAGTGCACTAGTAATAAAAAAATATGATTATATAATTGATAGTGATAATTGTAAACATATTTTCTAGAGTATGATCTAAAAATTTGGATTGAAAATAGAGGCCCACCTTAGAAAAATCATATTATTTAACTTACTTTCAAGGTTAAAATGTGGTGGTCTTTAAATAGCTCGAAAATCAATTCAACTGACTCTCAAAATCAGGACATATTATAAAATAATAATTTTGTTTTCAATTACGCAACATGTCAATTACTAACAAATGTGTCAATTATTAGAACTTGTTCCAATATGCACTTTTCTACATCTTACCAATTTAAGTAACCTAAAAAATATGTTAGTTACTAAAAATTGACTTTGACTCATTCTTCATGCACTTTATTCGAGTCTAATCTATTTTAGACCCCTAGTTGGATCTTCTCATATTTATATCTTGTTTTCATATCAGTTGGCTCTCTAGTTTTTAACTTTTCCTATTTTTGTGCTATACACAACCTTAAGGAGATTAGTTTGATAATTTGTAAAATATTATTACTACTTTAACCATGATCACATCAAACATCATCTAAGAATGCAACAAGAGTTACTTGTGATCCTCCTATCAAATTTGTTCCATTAAAAACCAAAATCAAAGAAACCTATCAATTTAAAATCATAATTTCTTAGATATCAATTCATAACCAATAGTATGAAAAATATTTGAAAACACATTCAGTGATGGTCAAATGAAACTCATTTTCAATTTCTTTAAAGAGAATGTCAAGTCTACTTATTCTCAAGTACAATAGTGAATCAATCATCATATCTATTTCATCTTGATCTATAATTTTTTTTATGTTCGTCTAAATGCAATGTGAAATTAGGATTGCTTAGTACTCATTTCTCTTTAACATTATTATGTTGAATTTATTTAAAAAATTATTAATGAATTTATATTGAAATTTCAATAAATAAATAAATAACTCAAAGATCAAGGAAAAATCTATGGTTACTCACCATACTGACTTTAAATTTTGATATCATAATTTTTAAAAAAATGATACATAAATCTTTATTCATTGAACCAAAAATTATCTATCTACATAGATTTGAATAATAAAAATATAAGCTTTGTTTTTTACCAAAGTTGTATTGATGATATTATGAGTGTGACTACTCTTGTCTACTAATGAGCTAAATATAAAAAAATGGAGATACTTTCTTTACATAAATTAATGAAAAAGAACTTCTATCATAATTATGTTTCAAAACACAATTTGAACATCTATTTGATTCATCTTGCAGATACCCAATATATGATCTTTTGGTTAATCCTTAATCAATTTCATTATTTGGATAGTTTCTCATTTTTCTTGATAGAATTTTCTTGAAATTCATATATCAATGCACCAAATCATCCAAAACTTGTGAAATGTAATTATTTAAATAGATATCAAATCAATAAATTATTTAACAACCAAATTCTTATATTCACTTCTATGATCCTAAATCTCTTGATTATAAGATCCTTTTTGCTCTCAATCTTCTTCCAAAAATTCAGAAAAAATTGCAAAGTTTTTCCTTAGCAGAGAAGAAAATAAACCTATATAAAAATATAAACACTTATTGAACCATGGACTCTACCTAGAGGCCAGGGAGTTTCGCCATACTAAATAAATATATCTGATTAATTTTAACAGTTTAGAAGTAAAAATAAATACTTCAATTTAAAATGTCTTCTAGCATATTTTCCATGAATGTTCATTTATCAAGTAAAAAATTCTTAAATGAAATATTGGGTAAGCCTCTAACTTAATCCATTTCCAAAAGTTTTTGAATGATACGTGGATTTATATGTGCTAAAAAAAAATGTTGCAATCAAAATCATGTGATGAGTCATTTGTAGAATGGTGGATATTTAAATTCATGAGTTTTGGTAAATAAACAATGTATACATTCCCATGCCTTTTTGCACTAAAGATTTATTGACAAAAGGAAGAAGTATTTAAAATGACGAAAAATCCATTGACCAAATGCATTGATTCACTATGTCAATTCACAAGAACCAAGAGTTTGTACTAGTTTTGCATACCTAGCCTATACTAAGCAGCATGTCAAAAGAGTGTCTCTTAGTGTAACCTGTTGGTTTTAAGCAGACTACAAGAGGAATCAAGGAAGGGTCAACTAACCTTTTTATTAATCACTCTCTAGATCTTAATTTAAAAGTTCTAGAACAAGTGCTTATATTCATTTGATCCACTTTGCCTACTATACCCTCTAAGGATTGTATCCTTAAATTGTTACACACGAATGATTCAATTAGCCTCCATTAGATTTCACAAATTTAGTCAATTTTAAGTGTTTCCTAAAAGTACTTCATGAAGATTCATAACTCTAGGGGGGCTAAGCAAATTACTACTCAACTAATCTTTTCTAGATTCATGACTCTAGCTTGACTTAAATATGATAAGGATTCAAAGAAAAATAAGAGCAAATAAATATTAGTAAAAAATTGGTGCATTTCTCTTTGTAGTATAAATTTCTTGACCTGAATTTTTTTTTTCTTCACTTTGAAGATTGGGAGAAATGTTATTTATATATAAACATTTTTTCTCAATTTTTGTGATATATAATAGTCAAAAAATGGTTACAAGTACTCACTTAACAGCTAGTGCTGCTCCCAACAGCTAGTTTTGGGGTAAAATGATTTTTTTTAATTTTCTTTCACAAAACCATGTCCCTTCATTGCCTTTTATGCATGTGAGTTAGACTCATGAGTAGACTCACCTGCAAACAATGAAGAATAAAAGATAAAATTTGTGGGAAAGTTGGTTCTAAAAATTCTTAGAAAATTTTACAAATCAGATTTAAGCATTTGTAATATATTCCCAAGGGTAATTAGGATGTTTAAATATTTAAGACTAGGTCTTCCTTGATGTGTCTACTCATATATTTTAGTGATAAATTGGATTTGAGTATTTTCAGAAGGAGTGAGTTAATTCACTGCCTAATTCACTTTTTTTTCATTTTTCGAAAAAAGTATGTTTTAAGATTCTGCTAAGTCATTCGGTTCCTCTCTCTCTCTCTCTCTGTCTCTCCAGATTGCTGGATGTGAATCTTGGAAGAGATGGCGGAGAACAGTAATTGCGTTTTACGGCGGACAGCGGCGGAGGTCCGATCTGGTGTCTCCGCCGTGCGCTCTCGCATGCGTCAGATGGCACCTTTTCCGAGAGACCGGCTCGAAAACCAGAGCCCCTCGTCCGTCTCCTTCTCAGCGACTCTGCTACGGTCAGCTTTATTCCCGTCTTTCTTTATACCGCCGACAGGCGGCCGGCGCGGGGAGGATCAGGCTTGTGGGATCTGATGGGAAGAAGACGGGAGCTACTCGACAGCAAGAGCTGGTTCTCTCTGTCCGATGAGGACGTCCCGAGGCCATGGCGTAGTTTCCACGAGGTCGTCTTCTTCCTCGTCCGGCTGCGCTCTCTCACAAACATGTGCCCTGCGATCGTTTGAGGGCTTCCCCCTCCGAGCCCCGAGGCCGGACGGCGGAAGCGTCCGAGCAGCGGCGATGCAACATTCTGTCCTTCTCAGCCCCGCCATCGCCATTCCGGTCAGAGATAGCTAGAGAGAGAGAGAGAGAGAGAAATACCCGCCATGGCTGCGTTCCTTGTGATCGCCCTGAAGAAGCAGGCCCACGTCGTCCCGTCGTCGCCGAGTTTTAAAGTCCTCCATGAATAAAATAACTACGAGCCGGAGCATTTACCCATCCACCTGCAACCATCCGTGCCGGAAATTAATGGCCATTGCCGTGATCGGAAGGGTGGGACGGTGGAGCAGTTGGGACGAGGACCACCGTCGATGCCTACGCCGGAATCGACGGTGAGCTCGAAGCATGTGGCGGCCCCCGAAGCGCCACCGGAGCCTGGTGACGCCGGCGCTGGCGCCGCCGGGAACTCGCCTCTAGGTTGGTCTACGTCGCGACACAAAAGGAATGCTTTTTTTCGAGCGGCAGTTTTCATTTCCGCACTTTTTGGGCGGGGTACAGAAAATGTCGCTACCTTTTGGCCTAGACCGCCGCCTGAGCAGATGCTGTGATCTATTTCTCAATAAAATAATTATAATTTTCCGATTACGGATAAACAGGCCATGCAAATATGATTGTAGACTGATTATTTTGCATGACTTTCAGAAATAATTTTCCATGAAAACCCATCGCAAAAAAATAAGTTCAGTCTAATCCTCTTCCTCCCAAGGTTCCCAAAAGGGTGTGGACTATTCTGTGAAATACCATGTTCTTCCTCCCCCTGTCGACGGAGCTCTCGCCGCTCTTCCCTTTAATCCCACCGCCCGGCCACCGGGGGCCCACGGCATAGCTGGCCAGTCACCTCCGGGAGGTATCTCGCGCGGCAGTCCCCGTGTTGAACTCGAGGGTAGTTTCGAGAATGCTTCGGTGGTCTGGATCTCTGCTCGTAGTTTGGGGGGAGGAGCTCGTTGCCTTCAGCTGGTCCTCTGGGCATCTATTTAAAACAGTCTTCTTCCTCCCTGATTCTCGGTCACGCCGCCCGTTGCCCCTCAGACCCTCCTCGGAATTCCAGAATCTGAGCCTCCTTCCGCCTCGCCTCTGCTCCTTGTGGCTGGATATGATCAAGGCGCTGGAATCTGAGCCTCGCTCCGTGAGACCGATCCAGTCGGGGGCCGTCATTTGCCGCCATGGCCTCTCCAGCGCCGCAGGCCTACGGGATCCACCGACAGGACATCCAGGCGGCGATGGCGAAGGCGGAGGAGCTTCGGGCTCTCCACGCCGCTCTCATGAACGGCGGCGCCGCTAGCAGCCCTGCCGCCGCCCGGATGTTGCCCGCAGGACCGTCGCCGTTCCTGGCTAGGGCTCCCCACCCGTTCGCCGCCGAGGACTACCCTGTCTTCACGCCGGTGAGTGTCCGGAGAACCTCTCCCACCCCCGTTGTTCTTCCCCCCCTTCCCCATTCCCCCCATAGTCATGTTTTTGCTGCTAGTTCCCACTTTTCCTTGCCCCAATAGAAGGCTGTACCTTTGCTCTTCACCTGCTCCATTCCTCCTCCATTCCCTTCCCTTGTTTAATTTTGAAATCCTCTTAAGATTTGAAATCCTCCTCCATTCCTCCTTCAGCTAATAAGTTGGCGAAAGATTTGAAATCCTCTTCAGATGTGATCTAAAATATTAGTTTCCGGAAATTTCTGATATATGGGTTTCACACTGATGGTGGTCTCTTTTATTTATTATTTATTTATTAATTTATCTTCTATCTAAGTGCTCTTAAATCCGTTGACTAGAGCTTAACATGGGATTTCTGCTTAGTTCATAAAAACCCTTAACATGATCAATTCCTCATGGACATATTAGTTGGCTCAGGGGGAGAGGAATTCCATCCATCATGCACCGATTTCCTCATTTTATTCCTCATACGTATGCATATACTTTTGTTAATTCAATCGGATGATGGAATGCCTGGACAGAGCTATGAAGATCACTTGCCCGGGTATCACCACTATGCCTGTTCTGAGAGCCAGGCTCCATCAGAGACCTTAAGCCGAGCTGGGCTAGATGGAGGGAGACATGATGTCAATGGAGAGCTTTTCTACAATAAGGAAGTCAACTCTTCTAGGATAATGAACAGAGAAGATCTGTTCTTCCAAGCTATGGATGGTCAACCCTTCCCAGGTTCCAGTGCTCTTCGGAAGAAATCTCCTGGAACAGAAACCATAGGATCCAGTCGGAGAATCGCCTCTGAAGAGTTCAAGGCGGTCTCTACGAGCAGGAAATGCAGGCCAGCATCCATTGACCGGGAAAGAAACACGACCAGCAGAAACCAGAGGAAGATGATCCCCCCTGTCCAGGAGATTGATGCCCAAAGGAACAGAGGAGCAATGCTGTCGCGGCTATTTCCTCGATTCAGGAGGAAACCCAAGTCAGAGATGTCCCCAAACACGCTAGAAACTGAAGAAATGTCCCAGCTTTTCAAGGACTGGGGAATTTGCTCCCTGGAGACCTTGAAGAGGGAGCTGATAGAGGCCAACGAGAACCGGGATGTTGCCCTGGCGGAGGTCAGCGAGATGAGGTCCTCCTTGGACGAGCTCAGGCAGAAACTTGTGCACCTGGAGACCTACTGTGAAGAGCTGAAGAAGGCCTTGAGACAGGCTGCCCAGGGAAAAGATGCAATCTCTGCAGAGAAACTCAGCTTCCCACGAAGGGCAAATCCCTCTGGTGGTGATGGTGGGGACGGCACGATGCCCGTCAGCCATGACGTCATGGTGGAGGGGTTCCTGCAGATCGCCTCAGAAGCAAGGCTGTCGGTCAGGCAACTCTGCAAGATCTTGATCACCCAGATTGACGAGGCCGATACCGACTTGGCGGAGAACCTGGAACTTCTCCTCCGTCCTCACCATCTGAACCTAAATTCTAGGCATTCAAAGGGTCTGCTCTTCCATTTCGAGGGTGTTGTCAACCGGGTTTTCTACGAGGACTTTGAGAACTGTGGGTTCGAAAGGAATGGTTCCCCGAGGGCTCTCGATCCGCAGCAAGATCGGATGGAGAGCTTCTCGGCGTTTGTGGCGCTGAGGAACCTGAGCTCAAGCAAAGCCCTGAGGAAGGGAACGAAGAGCTACTGCGAGGCCTTCAACAGGTTCTGCGACCAGAAAATGAGTTCAATCATCTTGACTTTGGGCTGGTCGAGGCCCTGGCCTGACCACCTCGCCCAGTCGTTCTTCGTGGCGGCCAAGTGCATCTGGCTGCTCCACTTGCTGGCCTTCTCCTTCAGCCCGCCACTTCCAATCTTGAGGGTCAGCGAGCACAGAAGCTTTGACCCCGTCTACATGGAGGATGCTCTCGCAGACCGACTGCAAGCCCACAGTCCATCACGGGTCAAGATCATGGTCGCCCCTGGGTTTTATGTTGAGGACAGGGTGCTCAGGTGCAAGGTCCTCTGCCGGCACAAGTTGCCCAGTTAACTGCACCCGACTCCCTATCCTGCTAACTTATTCCATGATCGATCAACTAATATGAAAGAGGAGCTCGAGCTCGAGCTTGACAGACCCCTCTGTACATGAGCCCAGACCTTTCCTTGACCGACTAAATTCCTTGTGCGTTTGTTTCCTGTGAATTATGTGTGTGATTCTGATGTTCTTCCTGTGAAAGACCGAGGAAGGATGTAACTTCTGTGCCTCGTGTATCCTGTGGAGAACTCTATGCGTCTAATGTTATTGAGATGGGAATCTTAACCACGTGAATTTTTTTTATATATATTTATTTTATTTTATGTTGTTTAGATCAATCACCAAGAACATTGAAGCTATGTTTCGCAATATTAATGGGTTATTTATTTGATTTGTATTTATTTTATCAAGAGCAATGTGAGCACTGCCATTAGGCATTGAAGTGGATTGGATCAACTTGATTGAGGTGGATAAAGAGTGGGTTCTATGAGGTCAGTGAAGAATGCCTCAAAGATTTTCATCCTTTCTTATGGTAAAATGTCAACGGTTTATGTTAGAGCAAGCTATTTCACCTTCTTTGAGCAACCAAATTAATCCCTGTTATGCACGCAGAAGACTTTTTATGGGTCATGAGTCAATTTCCACTTGTGGAAAGTCAAAGAGAGAAACACTCAAACATTGCAATGCAGTTTGTTTGTGGCCATCTTAGATCTATAATTTAAAAATAATAAACCTATCAAATTCTGAGTTTCATTATGGAAGAAAAGCTAGTGAAGGTTTGAAGGGAATTATTTCTTAGGGTACACAAGTAAATAGTAAAAATGAAGGGTTGTACGAATTAGTAAAGATACCACAAGAGCATAATCCAATGCTATTAGAAATGCGTTCACTAATCCGGACTTTACTTAATATTTTCACTATAGTACACATCAGTCATTTCTCAAGGCTAATATTAACTAAGATAGTAATGTCTACTCTAATTATGTAGTTGACTATTTGGTTATTATCAAATTTCCTTTGTTGAATCCCACTAATTAACAAATAATGTCATAGAGGAACAATGTTTGACTCCTATAGTTCAACTAATGTGAAAGGTTCTCATTCACGTATCTGGAAAAATGTGGTTGACTAGTAAGTTAGACTACCAAGTTGACTATTGTTGGAAGACTCTTTTATGTTTTAATGAGTTGACTTATGATTGTATAATAATTTCATATTCTTTCACCAGGTTTATTGCATAGTAGTATCCTTCCTTGTGATTGAGCAATACTTTTCACAATTAATGCTTAAGCCATGAAGCATTTGCATATTTTAACGTCTTAGGTTAATTGAATATTTGAACATTTAATAAGCATTCACATAGTTGATATACTTATGAGAATTCTAATCAGATGTTAGGACAAGGTGTTATTGACTAACGATTCCTTTTGACCAAGAGTTTTCTATTTTTTTAAAGATAAATATTTGACAAAAATGGTAATGTTTTATGGGCCGGATATCCCATGAAATAATGGCACTATGAATCTTACTCTCCAATTACAAACATGAAAATATGATTCTAAACTAACTTAATTGATAAAATTATTAAAAATTTCCCAATTATCATATTTTATATAATTGGATAAGGCAGACAACTTGCCAATAATAATAATAAAGAAGCAAGGAATGCATACTTGATTGCATTTTAAATAAATAAATAACATGAAATAAATTTTTTATTGTATTATTTCAGTCATTTGCTCATTACCGAAAAAATAACATCGGAAAATTTAGGTGATTAATATAAGACCATAGGCTTACATGTGATAAGGTTCTCACGCTGAGCTCGCGATATCAGAACAAGAACTGGCTTAAACCTTGTCGTCATCCATCGTTCGATCAGTGGACCTTCTGCGAACAACCAAGAGGAAAGGGATGATCTTTTTGGGTATGAATTGACCGTGGAATGAAACCCTAGCTACGTCTGCCGAGGAAACCTCGTGTCTCCTCCCGCCATTGCCTTCTTCTCCAGCTACTGTGGTATGGTTGCGCGTTCATCACTTTCTCTTTGGTTTCTTATCGTCAGTATGAAAGCCGACCTAAACCACACGAGGAACATTCCGAGATATCGATAAAAATCCTCCCCCCGTCATGGTTTTTGTTGTTCACGCGATTGTTATTTGATCACAGGAGCTTTCACCAATGGCGGGGAAGTCCAACAGGGGCAAAAACAGAGGAAAGTTATCTGGCGTAAACCATGCGAACTCTTCTGAGCTCGAGCCGAAAGCTGTGGACTCTTTGGTTGTCAGCAAGGACCCTGGTGGTTCGGAGTCCTCCGATGCCGCTGACGGTGTAATAGGAGACCCGAGCTCAAGCGATAAGTCTATTCCGAGCAATGGGCCAGCTGAAGACAACGCTGGCAAAGGAAACGGTCAATCGACAGCCCCCAAGCAGGAAGGTGAGACTCTCCTTTTTTTATTGCATCTCTGTGCTCTGTTTGCTCTGCGTTCAAGCTTGTCACAACTGAGAAAGCTTGTTGGCGAACATGTTATAACTCTGGTGGGTCAAAGGGGGTAATTAGACGTGGAAACCAATATCTCTCCTCTGCTCCAAGAGAGTCAGACGAATCAGTGAGAAGGCGATGCTTCTAATTGGACATTGTCGCAGCATCAGTTTTTCACACGGAGATATATCTATATATATATATATATTTAATGTTTCGTGTTTATTCATCCCCGGATGTTCTGTAGAATAATATACTATGCTTAAGAAACCGAACCGTCGATCACTTTCTGTTACGTGTTCTTCATATATAGTTCATTTAGTTACAAGCATTTGCGTTCAAGTGGTTGCTTTATGTTGCTATAGATTACGACTCTTCATATACGAGATATCTCCACTGGAAAATCTGAGAAAACAGGAGTCCTATACTCTCGAGTGTTAGGTGCTCCTTTTAATGAGGGATATCCTTTCCTCAGCTCGTTTTGTTTATTATTTTTCAAAATGACATTCTTTTGGGATGTATATCTTCGTAGATAGGAAACATACAACTGTACACAGTTGATAGTCTAACTTCTTCTCCATTGGCTCTCGAGAAATTGTAGACTGGATTCCTAACGCCTGCAACTCTTGCATGTTTCCATCATTATTCGGTTCACAGGGGAACTTCAACTTTATCCAGTGTCTGTCAAAGCGCAATCTGGGGAAAAGATAGAGTTGCAGGTAAGCTGCTGCGGCAAGATCAATATTATTCCTTTTCTGGGAAAATGTAGCGTAATAGCTCGGGAAGGTTTCTTTTTTCTTGCTCATGGTTCTAATGTTTTATTCATTTTTACTGGTTGACTTTGTTTACAATTGCTTATGCTGTTTACCCTTTTTCTTGCACAAAGTACTTCTATGTTTTCTCTGATGCCGAATTTCTTTGTATAATGCTGTAATTTTTGGACTCTTTCACTTGATTGTGCATTCATGCATGTCCATTGATGCCTATACAAGTTGCTCGTAGTTGGTCTTACACGGGAGAGTGAGTTGCAGTTTGCAGCCACTGAGAAAAAAATTATGTTAATCTTCCTAGAAAATGGGTTCATTAGTCATGTTTTTGTCTATTACTTTCGATAGTTACGACTCTTTTCATGTCTACCTCTTAAAGCCATGTTCACTTAAAAGAAGCTGTGCTGTTTTCGTCTGGAGTAGTCATTTGCGATAGTTTATGAAAATGACCGAAATTGAGGACAGAAAGTTGTCGACAATTTCTCATCAATTGTGGCAGATATATGTGGACAAGATGTTTTGATGGTACGCTTGGTGACCGTTTCTCTTTGCTGAATGTTTTTTCTGTAGGGTATTTTTTCCGTTCTTGGATTTTGGTCGCATGCTTGTAACATTTAAGTTTTATGTGAAAATTGTGTCAATAGTTTGTGCTCTTAAAAAAGGGAATAGGCTTGTTCTAACAAGCTTCATTATTTTTTTATGAATCTATTTTAAGGTTGTGAATTTGGTTACGTGTGAGATGAGTCTTATCCTCATCTTTTGAAATTGTCATCTTTCCTTTCATGCATATATCTGCTGTTTTTTTATCTTGAATTTTTGGGGTAATCAATTTAGTTTCCACATAATTTTTGATTCAAATTTTACTGGATTGCAGATATGTCCCATAAAATATCTCGTTGTCGTACCCTAGATATTTAGTATGCTCGTGGCCTTTTCTTATCTATAGCCCGAAAATAGATAATCACGTTCTTGTAAGAGGCAATTCTTATCTCTTCCTTTGTACTATGTACTCTGTTCATACTCTGATGAACGTGATTTCTCTGCCTTTTTCCTTTTACTGATTTATCATCTCATGTCATTCTCCTTCTAAGGATTCTCCTCAAAATTGTTTCCTTTATTTTTTGCCTTTTCTTCTTATGGTGTGATGGAGTTATTAATTTATTGTTAAATCATCATCTAGTACAAAACTGTTAACTTTCTTACCTGTTTTTTCATTTTCTTGCCGTTAATGTAGCTAAGTCCTAGAGATTCCGTGATGGACGTGAGGCAATTTCTTCTAGATGCTCCAGAGACATGTTTCTTTACATGTTATGATTTGATACTGAACTCTAAAGAAGGCCCAATCCATCTAGAGGACTACAATGAAATTTCCGAAGTTGCTGATATTACTACTGGTGGTTGCTCCTTGGAGATGGTTGCTGGTATGTGAAGGATAATTCCTCACAATAGAGGATATTCCTTTCTCAGACTTACAATCTGTGTATCTTTGCAGCACTGTATGATGACAGATCCATCAGGTCTCATGTCTGTCGAGCGCGAGAGCTGCTTTCATCTGCCAATACTCATGCATCATTATCAACTTTGCTTGCATTGCAGCATGAGAATGTTCAAAAGACAAATACGGGTATTTCATTTCAAATGAGACACTGATGCTATCTCGTCGCATTTTGTACTCGAACAACATTTTATCCTTAACTGAAAACCATTTTGTCCAAATTGATATTTTACTACGATTATTTTCATCTTGAGTAGTCTACTCTGAGTTGTTGATTTTTCTATGAACAGATAAATCTGAAGCCCCAGAACTTGATGGGTTAGGCTTCATGGAGGATATTACTGGTTCCCTTTCTAATTTGGTGTCATCATCACCTAAGGATATCAAATGTGTGGAAACAATTGTGTTTTCTTCTTTCAACCCTCCTCCAACTTATAGGAGGTAATCGTCTTTTTCTCAAATTTTTATGTTTCTGGGGATAAATTCTTTCTTTACGTAGAGCATTTTTAAAGTTTTATTCAGTGTGAAATTATTCAAGTAGGTTGGATTAGTTACTTGTTCACCATCCTGTATTCTGTTTTTTTTGTGCTCGCAACATGTTCGTGGCTGTTCAATTTGAGAACATGTGGCCATTGAAAATGAACTTTCATTGTGAAAAGCAAGCTCTGAGGTTGCCCTATATTGAACGAAGGTTCTGCAAGGTTGGACACTCGTCAACCATCTGAAGGGGGGGGGGGGGTATTTACTGTCAATCGCAGTGTCAAGCTCTTTGCGTAGCCAATTTGATTTACTACTGGATGCTTTCTCAGCCCAATGGACAGTGCATTAGACTTCCTCGCAAAAAGAATATTGCTTTGAACTATTTTTCTCTTTTGTTACTTGTGGACAATATCTGCCCTTAATTCTTCAAATGCGCTTGATAATTTTGTTTATTAGAGCTATTGAGTGGTTTTTGTTTCTACCTCAAATGTCAGGCTTCCTTGTCAATTATGTGACAAATTTGAGTACATAAATCTCTTTTTCCCTTCGTGCTCATTTTCTTCTTGAAGGGTTTTGTGTTATTGTTTGCATTTGATAAGCATGATACGGACTATGTAAATCCTAATGCTCTATAATAGTTGACAAAGTGGAGGTTAAGTAAAAGGCTGAGCCCTGTCAGTTAAACGCTGGCCCACATTTCGGTAGCATCAACACGGTACATCTTAGTATGACCTGGTATTGCATCTGCTTTAAAATATTGATCTCTCACGGGACCCTTGGCCAACTTTGACCTGCTTTTAATCTCAATAGACATCAATTCATCAGCTCTAATTGGTGGTTTGATTTGAATGGCTAATGATAGGATGCTTGCTTCATCCGAAATCGCTGAGATCGTGCTCTAAAATTGCTGGCTGTGACATTTTTATTGTGTAACACATCGATGCTCTAATGAGTTCCAATCTTGATTGATTATTCCTAGTATTTTTACTCTTCACAGATGGAATCGTTATAAACTTTTTATTGTTCCGGCTTAAATTTTCAATTATCCAGTAGCACTAATCTTTATCAAAGAAATTAATGGATAATGTAAACTTAGTGCAGCGAAATTTAATACTATCGCTGGATATAATGGAGGTTATTTCCTTTATTTTCCGTTTTGATGATAATGTTCTTGTTCTTTTTTATGTAAAGTTGTTTTCTTTGTTTGGTTACAAATTACCTGAATGTGGCATTATCATCTCTTCTAGGTTGGTGGGGGATCTTCTTTACTTAGATGTGGTAACACTAGAGGGTAGCAAATACTGCATAACTGGAAGCACAAAGGCTTTTTATGTGAACTCAAGCACTGGGAATGTGCTGGACCCTAGGCCGGCAAAGCCTGCTCTTGAAGCTACGGCCCTCATTGGTCTTCTACAAAAGCTCAGCCCAAAATTCAAAAAAGGTTTGCAACTTTGCTTAACGATTGGTTGTTAACGCAAAATGAGAATTATTACACTTTAAAATTGTTTTTCTTGAAGGTTTTCGTGAAATGTTGGAGCATAAGGCTTCTGCTCACCCTTTTGAGAATGTTCAATCATTGTTGCCACCAAACACATGGCTTGGAGCTTATCCAATCCCTGGTATGTTTTCCACCTATGTTTCAATGAAAATATAACTACTTTTCCATGCTTGTTAAACTCTATTAAAAATATTTTTTCATTTGAAAATTTTATTGTTTTCTTTGACATGGAACTGCCAGCTTGGTGAAACTAATGTTTCTAGAACGGGTAACACTAAAATGTTCTTCATTTGGAAGGGAAAAATGATTGTAAAAACTTGGACAAAATGAAGGAAAAGGTCAGAATTATCATTTCGGCAGCTCCTCTGGTTCATCTAACAGTGTACTAGAATTGTTCAAAATTCCATCTTGCAGCTATAGGTTATGTGTTCCGTCTGAACTTCATCATAGACATTAGCGTTGGTCCATAGAATTTTCTAATGTTTATCCCTTCTATGAGTTTCTTATTGATTTGCACTATTTATACTGCTCTGAAAGTATCTGCGTTTCTGCTATTATCTTCTTCTTTTTATCCCATTCTAAACTGCACATAATAGTTCTGATATAACAGTCTTTATCTAATTGACGTTGGACTGAATGTGGAAGAGACTATTCTATTCTGCCTTATATGATGTGCGTCTGTAAAATTCTGGACCTGGATATGAATGGAACAGAATAAAAGCTTCCACGCTAGGCCTCATTCCAACACAAGATCCTCTAACATCAGCTCATGTTAAATATCACTGTTGCTTATTCTAATGTTGAAAACCTGATTCTCATGTTAATCAAGATCCTCTAATATCCCAGGTAGGCACTCATTTATTAGAACATGTGAAGATCTTGATCATTGATGACGGACATTTATTAGACACGCTGTCATTAATGAACTTTTCATGGCTACAAGGGGGACTTTATAGTTTGGCTCTTGTTAATTATTTCATATAAATGATGTTTCGACTGATCTTTATTTCAGAAAAAGTAGCACCCATCTATTTCATTGGATGTGTGCTGAAGCATCTGCCAATCCTTTTACAACTCTGGGCTATCCTGGCTGATGAGGCGCCTGACCATGAAACACCACTCTAGCCAAAGCTGTTTAAAATTCGACAGATGCTTTTTGTTATGTATGTAGGTGCAAAATTTAGTGAGACCATCATCCTGGTCTGAACTTATTCAGTCCTCCTGAAATATTTAAAATTTGTTTTCATATTTTTCTTGTGTCATTTTTTAGGCAGCTATAATGTTTAAAGTGTCACTCTTCTGATTTTTATTAAATTTCGTGGTGATTTTCACTTCGTTGATTCTCCATTTTATGTAAGTACTATGTTGTGGTCATTTATTTTTCTCATTCCAAAATTTCTATTGTTTGTTTTCAACTGTTTGGTTTATCTTATTCACAGATCATAAGAGGGATGCTGCGAGAGCTGAAAATGCGCTGGCTCTATCATTTGGCAGTGAGTTGATTGGTATGCAGAGGGACTGGAATGAGGAGTTGCAATCTTGTCGGGAGTTCCCTCACCATACTCCCCAGGAAAGGTAGATATTGCCAAATCCCTATATCAATGGAGCTGTCCTGATCAGAATCACTATTTCTGTAGTCATGTCAACAATTTATTAACTGATAACTAAACTAGATTAGTTTGTAGAACGATACGTTTTGTTTGCATTACATAGTTCTTATGGTACTGTTTGTTTTGCAGGATCCTACGTGATAGGGCTCTTTATAAAGTGACCTGTGATTTTGTTGACGCAGCAATTAGTGGCGCAATTGGAGTCATTAGCCGATGCATACCTCCAATAAATCCAACAGACCCAGAATGCTTTCACATGTTAGTTAACCCTGGAAAATGGGTGGACGTTTATTTTGCCTTCTCCACTTGTGTCCTGTGCTTTCTAAACATTGTTGTGGTTCTAGACAACTCTACTCATCCTATATAAGTTGAAAGTTCGCAAGTTATCTCCGTCCTCTATGATCAATCATATTGTATATTTTTGGTTGTGTTATATTATTTAAATTCTTATAGATACTTGTCTCTGTCGCTTTTTATACAGGTATGTACACAACAACATATTCTTCAGTTTTGCTGTGGATGCAGACCTTGGGCAGATATCGAAATCCAAATCACCTGGTTTCTTGCAAGCTGCGAAATATCTTACAACTGCAGACACTTCTTCCAGTCTGTCGGAGAAGAGTTCTGGCTCAAATGCTGATGGTGGTAATGATGTAGTAGATTCTTCAGGGGATGCTACCACCGAGGCACATATGGCTGATGGTGAGCAGGCAACATATGCTTCTGCGAATAATGATCTAAAAGGAACCAAAGCTTATCAGGAAGCTGATGTTCCTGGGCTTTATAATCTGGCTATGGCAATAATTGATTACAGGGGTTACAGGGTAGTGGCACAGGTGCATCTTGGATCTCTAGCCTGGTTTACTTGATTGAATTTGCTTTTGCTTGTTGCTTCATCAGCAGTCTTCAATTTTTTATTTATTAATAAGTTGTACTTTTACTTTCTGTGATAATATAGATGAATTTGATGGAAATGATTGATTGATGGTTAAGAGTACTGATTTTTTTGTTGATAGTGAAGAGAAAATCGAATCAAGTAAACCATCCATGGGCGGCAATTACTTTGTTCACCCTTTGAACTGTAATCTAGGAAAAAGTTACCTCAGACTACAATGGACCCTCCCCCCTTGGAAATTAACGATGTTTTATTTTTTCATTATTTATTGAAGCTGAGATTTTGCAGTCTCATTTGACTTATTCTGTTCTTGACTAGTAGGATTGCTCCATCATTGATCTCAAATGCTGCCTTCAATTTCTCTTTAAACCTTCTCCTTTTGTCCCACCTTAGAGGGTCGCAATATAGGCATACCATGGGCCACCTTCTTTTCCTTGAACCTGAAGTCCTATTACTTGATCGTGATTATTCCTACCATCTTGTTGGTACTACATTCTGTGAAGATTTAGTTCTCATGCCTTTATTGTGATCCACAAACTATAAAATTAGCTTCCATTAGTCGATTAAACTTTTCAATTCTGTCCATTGTAGGCTATTCTTTGTATTTTAAATCTTTTTAATGAAGTTTGGGTATACAACCTTCGGTAAGAAACTCTTGCATTAAGGTAAAATGCTACTTTGTACCACAATCTTGTAAAATGAAATGTCGTTTCACCAACTTCGTAAAAAAATCAACTGTCATGTAGAATGTGAACTTAAAGCTGACCCACGATGTAAGCCAACCATAGCTGGGAAGTCATTTGAACTTAGCTCTAACGTATCAATACTGGTTTCTTAGTATCATTTTCTACTGTAATGTCCACCACACAACTCTCTACATGCATTTTCAGAATTGTCTGTATGTGGACTAATATCTGTTAATAAATAGTATTAGTCATTGTCCCCTTATGATCGTCTATCTTTTTTTCACATAAATTTCTTAGAACCACTTTCTTTTAAAAGCCCACCAGATAGCTTTCCCAGGCACTCTTGTATGGTTCTTAAAATCGATGAATATTTTAAAAATATTTATTTCTCTGCAGAGTTGTTTCCTCAATTCTCTACACTAGAAAGTTATTAATATTTTTAAATCTTCGAAGCTTTTACTTGTCTCTCTCAAGTTTTTTCATGTTTTAATGTCATATATCTGATTCTCCGTAATAGAATACGCAAAATTTTAGTTCTGGTTGAAAATCGTCTTGGACAAACTAGAGGACGATCTGTTAGTTTCTACCTCATCATATTAGTTTTCTTTGATCTGCAGAGTATAATACCTGGTATTCTCCAAGGAGACAAGTCGGATTCCCTTTTATATGGTTCTGTTGACAATGGCAAAAAAATATGCTGGGATGAAAAATTTCACTCCAAGGTTATATTTCCTTTTATTAATGTAATGCCTGCGGTTTATTTATTTCATGATAATCGCACATTTATGGTTATTTTGCTATTGTACTTTCACTGTCAATGTAATTCACTATTTTCTTACTTCTACTCTGGTAGCAACATATTGGAACAGCTTTTCGAGTTCAAACTCCTTTGATTTTTGTTAGGATTTTCTATAATATTTTCTGTTGGGCATGGAACTTGAGTTTTGTTTGAAAAAATGTATTTTGTCAATTTTAGTAACCTTTCGTGGCTAATGTTTTCATTACTCAAAGGTCGTGCTAAAGTCTCAATTTTTTTGATGATGGTGATGTTCCATGTACCTCAGGAATTGATTCCGATTCTGAACTCGCCATCTATATTTTAATTATTTTTCTATGCTCTGTGTTTCTTTCGTCTGTGAAGTTCGTGTATGTCTTCTTAAAGGCGTGTATCTCGACTTCCTCATGGGTATTCTCTGATGATAGAGGGTGATTTCTTTGCTAAAATGAAGAGCACTTAAATATTATTACCTATTATGATTTCATTTCGAGATTGCTTCATATTTTGCTCTCTTGGGAGGGCGTTTGCTTCGTTATGTTATTGTAAATTTCAATATGCTATTTCCATTAGTATGCCTTTTAATGGATGTGCATTCTTTCTGTATATTTTTATTGAACACATTTTTTCCCCAGATTCTTGAGGCTGCAAAACACCTTCATTTAAAGGAACACACAGTTATTGACGGATCTGGAAATGTTGTCAAATTGGCTGCTCCAGTGGAGTGTAAGGGTATTGTTGGGAGTGATGACAGGTTAACGACTTTTTCTGAACCACACTCATTACATTTTCATGTTTTTTGATGTGATATTTACATATCTGAGTGATCACATAGTGAACCTTGTTCTAATCTTTTTATTGTGGTGGCAGAAAGAGATAACTAAATTTGTTCATATGGGTGATGCTTTTCTTTTGAGAAGTTGCTCCATATATAAACACAGCTTTTAATTCGACACATACTACATGGGTATGCACTGCAAATAGTTCTGATCCTGGATGTTTTTCCATTTTTGTTGTCAGAATTTAGTTACTCGACACTTTGATAGCTGAAGTTACCAAGTTCTTGTGAGGTGACATTGAGTTCAGTTTTTCTTGTGCTAAGATATTGTAAGGATCTGTCTGCCACCTGACTTGTATCCTATCACGATTGTTCTTGCTAAAACGAAAATGACATCAATGACTGATTAATTGAAAGAGAACTCAGAATTATAAGATATGCTGTGATAATGGCGAAAGTAGAGTGCATAACGTAATTGCATTGATGTTCTCATTGCTCAAATCCCGTGAGTTCAATCTTTGCTCTTCGGGTTGGATCTTTAGTTGTGTAGTTTTGTACTTCGTACTGAACTTCAATGGATTGAAAATTGAATCATTCGTCGTTCTTGAAAATGAAATGTAAGCAATGGTGGCAACATAAAGGTATCGTTTAGTATTGAGCTTTCTTTAAGACTAAATGCTTTGTAATCCCCAAATATTCTTTAAGACTAAGAAAGTCTATGCGCTCTGTTCAGGCTTACTCTTGTATTGGATTTTCATTTTTTATATGATAATGAATGCTTGCAGGCATTATCTTTTGGACTTGATGAGGGTAACTCCTCGTGATGCAAATTACATTGGTCCACAATTTCGCTTTTGTGTCTTGAGGCCAGAACTTGTGACTTCCTTCTGTCAGGTAAATACTGTACAGATTTATATTGGTCAATCTTGTAATACTTCTCTTCTTAACTAAGCATGTGATATCTGTGCTAGGCTGAAGCTGAAGAGAGGTCCAAACCTACGACCACTGATGGAGAAGCGCTAGCAACATCTGATACACAACAGGGCGATAGTGATGCATTGAATGTAAGTACGGGCACTGGATCATTTTTGCTATTTTGTATCCTTCTGATGTCACGTACATGTAACGTTAATTGGAGGCATTAACTGATACAGGGTTTCTATTGATAGAGCCTTTACATTGATGGTCTGGAAATAAGAATTTATTTCATATTTTAGTTGTAGCATCTTGAAATTATCAGTGATGAATGTTTGTCTTGTACACAAGGCGAGGTGATAGAAAGCTTTTGAAAAGTTTTTCTTTATGTATTCATTCTAGAGTATAAATCCTCTTGCACACGGCAGTTGTTTTATACATGTCACTTTCACGCAGTCAAGGATGGGGAAGAAGTTAACTTGATCAAGCCTGTATATGTGTAGTGAGCCCTTGTTTTTATCTTCAGGGTTTTTACTTTCATGATTATTTAGGTATTTATGCGGATATTTTAATTTTTATTGTATAGGGTATGCCAACACAAGAAGAGACCAAGGATGCTGAAGAATGTAGTGTGCCTAGTGAAAGTACATCATCACTTGGCGAAATAGTTTTGAATCCTAATGCTTTTACTGAGTTCAGATTGGCTGGTAGCCCAGAGGTTAACTTTTATGCTAATCTCAGGTCGTTATTTCTTTTTGTTGATTTCAACTTCTTTGTGACCCCTGTTTTGGTTATGCCTTGTCATCAGGAGATAGCCTTAGATGAGGCTAGTGTGAAGAAGGCTGGTTCCTATCTTTTAGATGTTGTCATCCCAAAGTTTGTTAAAGATCTTTGCAACCTCGAAGTTTCTCCAATGGATGGGCAAACTTTAAGTGATGCACTTCATGCCCATGGGATAAATATCCGCTATCTTGGAAGAGTAGGTATCGGTAAATTCTGATGTTGGGCGATAAATATCGCTTCAGTGTCAAGCATTTTCTCATGATGTTCTCTGCCCTTTCCTCAGATCGCATTTATGATAAAGCATCTACCTCATTTGTGGGATTTGTGTACTGCAGAGATTATTATTCGGTCAACCAAACATATTTTGAAGGTGAACCTTCTTAGCCATCATTTTTATTTGTTGTTTTTTTTACTTTATTATATTGCCTTCATCAGTTGCCATGACAGTGACTGATTATTGCTGAGTATTGGTTTTCTCTCCAGTTATTTAAAAACTAAACGTTAAAATTTATGAAATGTCTTCAATTGATTAGGAGGAAGTATTGGTGAAATTTCAATGTAGCTAATATTAAATAACCTTTTGTGTAGTTTTGTAATTTTTTAATTACTTAGACAGAGGAGTATTTCATTGAAATTACCATTGGGCTTTCTTCGATTAAAAGAATGCTCAATTTAGTTTTGGGATTTGATTTTTGCTTTGATTGCCTTATAACAGATAGAATGCCATGTACTGGCAGAACTAAAAACTGGCTGCTTTAAATGATAGCTAGGGTTTAGGGCTTCAAGTCGTCTTGGGGTTAGTGCTAACTAAAAATGGCAGAGTAAAAAAATATATTTTGGTCAATATTTAGTTTATTCTTAAAAATAAAAAGTCTTTTAAAATGATTATGCCATTTTCACAACAAAATCCAGTATCTGCTTGTGCTGTCCCATCTGCTATCCTTGGGCCATTTGTTAATGCAGCCATCTATTACGACTATTGACTGACTCAAAGATCCACGGAATCCATATAATTTATCCTTGTTTTGTGCAATCTTTGGGTTAATCAGCAAAGATTTTTATGATTATTTCTAGTTGTATTTTTTGTTCTGAGACTTGGCTGTGATGTTTCGGATTCATGTATGGAAAGCTTAACTGTGAGTATTGCTAGTGAAATGCTCTGAATTCTGTTGGTAAGCTTTTCGGGCCAATATTTCAACTGAAAAAGCTTGATTTTTTCCGGACATTTTTTGGTCCAAACACTATCATTTGTAAGGAGTAATTAAATATCTGACTCATTATCCTAATGCCTCCTATTTTTAATGAATTTGAACAAGTGTCTAGAACCCTACATTATTTGTTATTATCAGGAATGTTACTCTTCAGCAAAGTTGGTCCCACGTGCCTAGCGGTAAGGAAGCTGTGACGGCACTGGCAGTGCTGCAAGAATCTTATGTCTGTCTTTCCCATTCTAGTTCCATGGAGAGGAAAAATTACCATCCCTTCTAAGAAGGGAATAGTGAAAAATGCGACTAAGATTTCATAAGTTCTTGTATCTATCATGGACCATTAGCATTTATCATTCAACGGCTGAGTTCATGTCCACTTTTATGTTTGGATCCATCCAAGAGTACCTGTACTTTAATTCTGGATATCATTTCAAGTCATTATAGACGAAAATGACTCTACGTAAGGTTGTGCAAACATTTTGTCGTCTTATTTCTTTCCTGTTTTGTGTTTGGATGCATCCTATGCTTTTGATTCTTCCTCATCCTTTATGAGTTAGCTATAGAACTTATTGTTGGTTGAACAGGATATACTAAGAGAGTCCCAGGATCACGAGCTTGCAAATTGCATCTCTCGTTTCTTGAATTGTTTCCTTGGTACGGTTTCACCTGGTGACTCTAAAGGAAGATCGTCCAAGTTGATGGTGAAAAGCCAGATGAAGGTACATGAGCGAAATTATCTGATGTTTATTTGTTTTATTATTTTAATCTTTATTGAATTCTGTGTAGGATTTTCATGAATTGTTTTATAGTGCAGCCACTTTTTCGTATTTAAACTGAATTACATTCAGAGTACGCAGTTTTCTTTCAAATTTTTTTTTTTGTGGGTGGATGGATTGAATTCCTTGTATCAGTCTAACTAGTCTGTTTACATGCCAGTCAATCTTGTTATTACAGTGACTAGTGATACACAGAAGTTGTAAGTCACATGTAGGAAGTTTGGGGTGGTTGAAACAGGCTGTATAGGTACCATTTACCTTCTTGGGTAGCTCTATTTTCTGTGATTGGAACCTTATCGACATTACTTCTGTGCATCTTCTAGCATAGTCAACTGATCCTGGTTGTATGGTTATTAAAACCAATATTTTGTTAGTAAAATACGTGTATCCCTATTGATCTCGGCTTGCTGTGTTTAAATGTAACTTGTGTAATAATTTGCAAGATAACTCCATAAGTGGTACTTATTTGTTGCTGTGGCCCTCCTAATAGGTCGGGATCACGATTATTCGAGTGGCCAGACCCTCAAAGCTGCTTATTGTGGGTCATTTATGTTTAATTTCTCGTAAATGCACTTTCTATTGTTTAATGATTACATAGCACTATCCACTTGAGATTAAAGGGTCAACGCCGATCTAACTTACATAAATGACATAGAAGCAAAGACGTCATCTGACTTTTATATATGCTTCTGTAAGCACTATTTATGTTTTTAATTTTAGTTCTCTGTAAAGTTTAGCTGGAGCTAGAGCACGCTTTTGGATTTCCTCCTGATCTAAATCGTGATGCATTATTGTTCTTTTGATGTGTTCATGGTTCTTAAGGAGCAGGCGGGGCACCAATTGCCTCAGAGGTCATCAGGGGGAAAAAATTGGAACAATAGAAAGTCTCAGGCGTGTTATATGCAGATTACCTCAGAAGGACTCTGGTTCTCGATTCAGGAATTCGCCAAATTTAAATATCAGGTATTTGTGCATCGATTGTCTAGAAAATCATGACTTCTTTTCCATGTATGCCAGTTTATACTGATACGAGATTCTTTCTCACAGTTTGAATTGCCAGAGGATTCAAAGTCTTGCATTAAAAAGTTTTCTGTGATCCGTAATCTATGCCAAAAGGTCAGGTCTTATATCTCTCTCCCTTTTTACGCATATAACTTTTTTGTGATCTTAAATGAAATCTGTATAGTTTAGCTGTCGCACAGTAAGTCATCTTGGCTTTTCCAGTTTCCCTGTTTCCACACGTCTCTTCTGGAACCCTTTTTTCTTTTTACCCTCTAAACTCGGAAGATGCTGATGGATCATGCAGTTGACCTGCAGATGATATAATGTTTAACCCCCTGTTATCCATCGTTGATGAACTGCATAATCGAACTGGTTTGGTTCTTCACTGAAGCATCAGAAAGGCCAGTAAACACTAGGATCTTCCGTTTAGGGTCTAATGAAGACCTGAAAAAATAATGCTTCATTATTAAACAGTGCATCCTGGTCACTTTCATCTGTATATGGATGCGTAATGCTTCCTTATTGAGTAATTTCCGGCATTATCTTAGATTACCTCGGCTTAATGACAATATCTTAGATTACATATCAATGAGGGGGGGGGGGGGGGACTTAACTGGTCCATGCTTCTGAGCTTTGCAGGTTGGGATATCCATTGCAGCACGGAAATACGACCTTGAAGCTGAAATGCCCTTCCAAACTTCGGATATTTTAAATCTCCAACCTGTAGTGAAGCATTCTGTCCCTGCCTGTTCCGAGGCCAGAGATCTCATGGAATCGGGGAAGCTTCGGTTAGCAGAGGTATGTAAATAAACTGATGAAGCATATCTCTATAAGCATTAGGGTAGATATTATCCAGCAGATGCCTGAGTGTGTGATACTCCTCTGCAGGGAATGCTTAATGAGGCATACACTCTATTTTCAGAGGCCTTCTTGATACTTCAGCAAGTGAGATACCAATTCCGCTGTCCGCCCTTGAATCCATACATTTTAATTGCTCTTGCCCTGATCATCCATGAATTGCAGGTTACAGGTCCCATGCATAGGGAGGTTGCCAATTGTTGCAGGTAATCATCACACATGCCTGAATCTGTGTTTATCTTTCTTTCTTTTCGGTCTTGGTATTAATCTAGCGTCTTATTCTCAATTCAGTATCATCTCGTCCAATTCAGTCACATAGGTTCCATTGCATGATGTATCAGTTTGGATCATGACCCATATCATCTGGTATCAGTTTGGGTCGACCAATTCAAAAAGACATGCTTCCATGAACTAAAAAAGGGAAGAAAAATCCGATTCGACAAGGATTTCTTCATGCCTAGGTTATCTGGTTATGTTATCCCCAGTTATTTTTGTTCTGAGAATGTTGTGTGGAACGCTGTTTGTGATCGTAAGCTGTATCCCATGAATATATATTCAGGTGGATCCAGCGGTTGGCGAAGTTTTTCCAACCTGCTGCCTTTTTGTCAGGCGGTCTCCTGTACCTGAGCAGTGTATAACCTAGACGAGTAAAGACCAGCAGGCAAATGTTGAATGTGTGGATTTTGAGCAGATGTAATAGGAACAACTGCAAGTATTGCCCTGATGAACAGGTTAGCAGGGCATACGATTTTCTGTAGGGCTAGGGACGAAGTAATCTTGGAGAGCCTACTCTGTTTCTTGGCAAAGATTATCAGTTACATCAAGACCCGAAACTAAACAGGCCATGGGGTTCGGGTCTCCTATCTGGATTAGGTTTGTGGCTAGATTAGGGCCAGATTAGCCGTAAGTCAGCTATCTGGGTCAGATCAAAATCCTTGGGGTCAAATGTCTGTTTCGTTCCTCTTTATCTTCACATCATTACCTTATGGGAGTTGATATCTGGATATCTGATCTCCTAGGTGAGAAGTATCAGTAAATAAATATAGGAACAAAATCCCTCATCCGGATATATGTCACTATTTATCTCTGGACCAATGAAAGGACTGCCATCTTACATTAATATTGCGTATTATTGCAGATAAAACCCAATGAATCTTGCTTTTTTGGGTGCATCTAGACTTGCTAATTCCTTATTAATGGCGTATTCCACCGCTTTTGTGCTTCCAAACAAACTAGTTCCCTCCTCTCCCGTTATATGTCCAGCCATTAGGATCAGAAACCTTGGAATGGCGGGCGTTTTCTAATTTCGGATGATTTAAAACGGAAAATAATATTGCCAATCTCGTGATCGTCTCAACCTTTCAGGTACCTCGCGATGGTTCTGTACCATGCGGGTGATATGGCTGGAGCGATCATGCAGCAGCACAAGGAGCTAATTATAAACGAGAGATGCCTTGGTCTGGATCATCCGGATACTGCCCATAGGTATATATACCCTCCATATTTCTTTCATAGACCCACAATCTTTCTAAACCTCGTGTCAACCCATCGTTGACTTATTTATTTTTGCTTTTTTTCTTTTTTCTTTTTTTTTACAGCTACGGTAACATGGCTCTTTTCTATCATGGCCTCAACCAAACAGAGCTTGCTCTCCGTCACATGTCCCGAACCATGCTCTTGCTGAGCGTATCCTCTGGGCCCGACCATCCTGATGTTGCTGCAACCTTCATAAATGTGGCCATGATGTTCCAGGATATAGGGAAGATGAATACTGCCCTCAGGTATTTGCAAGAAGCCTTGAAAAAGAACGAACGGCTTCTGGGCCAGGATCATATTCAGACCGCAGTATGCTACCATGCTCTCGCTATCGCGTTCAACTGTATGGGCGCCTACAAGCTCTCCCTTCAGGCATGCTCCTCGTACCCATACGATGCTTGGATTCTTCTGGGAAGTTACAGGATCTGGCTGCTAATGGGTTTACCCTCATTGTGACAGCACGAGAAGAAAACTTATGATATACTCGTCAGACAGCTCGGAGAGGATGATCCAAGAACACGTGACTCTGACAATTGGTTAAAAACATTTAAGATGCGAGATCTTCAGGTGAGGTCTTCTGGGTGTTGACTTTTTGCTTATCCATGCGCGTTGCCAATCTTTTGATGAAGTTTTTGTCTCAACTGAGGAGCCGGAGACTGTCTTTCTTCATTCCTCTCCAATCAAGAAGTGTTTTTTTAATTTTTATTGGATGTTTTTTCTTGACGAATCGTGAGAGGATAACTGTGATTATCAGTAATTTTTTATAATTTTTGCCTGGTAAATTACTTTTTGTTTTTAATAAATTTGCTATCCATGTTCTGTCCTAATCTGGATAACTTATTCATTTTAGAATAAAATTTTAAGTCAAAATTCTTGTGGCTCGATCGTCTTCATTAATCTGGATTATATTTCCTTGATAAACCTTGTAATGTTCTTTACCATGAAACCCAATTGCAAAGATCAGTTTTTTGGAAAAGAACTGGCCAGTATGCATGAATGAGATTATGAAGGGAGATTGTTCTGGCTCAACCCAAGAGAAAACAAACTTCTTTCTCGAGAAATTAATTGCTCCAAGAACAAGATGTTTGGCTTTAACTGATCTACATTTTGCCCTAGCAGGCAACTGCGCAGAAGCAAAAGGGGCAGCCGGTGGACTCAGCTTCTGCCCAGAAAGCCATCGACATCTTAAAAGTGATCATCTCATCTTCTTCTGTTAAAATCTGGCTTTGTTACTGACTGAATGAAGCCAAATTATTTCCTCCGCAGGCTAATCCTGACCTGCTCCAGGCAGTCCAGGCTGCGGCCGCAGGAACCACCAACGCCAGTGCCGCCTCGATCAACAAGTCCATCAGCGCGGCAGTCGTGGGGGAGGCCATCCCCCGCGGCAGGGGAGTTGACGAGCGGGCCGCCCGTGCCGCCGCCGAGATCCGGAAGAAGGCGGCGGCGAGGGGGCTCCTCGTGCGGCCCCACGGCGTCCCAGTCCAAGCCATGCCGCCACTCTCACAGCTCCTCAACATCATCAACAACAGCGCCAGAGCAGGCGGTGCCGCCGCTGCCGCAGAGAATCCTCAAGACGCCGAGCAAAATGCAGAGGGCAAGAAGGCTCCTCCGGCCCCTGAGAATGGAGTCCCCGGTCAAGAAGGCGGCGCCCCCACCAATAAACAAGAGGATGGCCTTCCTGTCGGATTGGGTGCTGGTCTGGGCTCTCTACAGAAGAAGCAGAAATTGAGACCGAAGGTCGCATCTTGATCAGGTGAACGTTCAAAGTTTTGAGATCCCTCTCTCTCTCTCTCTACACCAGTCTGGCAATCTGGTTTCAGTTGCACCCATTTGAGCAAGTGGGTCCGGGAAATCCGTCGGCTTTTTTGGGGTTTGAATAAGGCCGGCTCAGTAGGAATACTGAGGAACATCTGGGTTGGCAGTTGCCCGGTGATCGGCTCCTTGAGATTGCTGCTTGGTTTGGGTTCGCCATGGAGGAATGCCCTGGCCGCCCACATTTCATGCAACGGAGATGAAGAAGAAGATGCCCTTTTCTATTCATTCTACAGTTGACTGCCTCGGGGAATCCCAGCCGCTGAATTGTGTTTGACTTTTGGAATCGTTGTAAACCTCCAATAAGTTGGTGGGCCCATCTCTTGCATTCTACATTTGTAGTGTAGTATCTAGGACTCCTGGGCAGTAATTATTCATCAGCCCTTGTAGCTCCTCGTCTGATGCCCAGAAATACATCATAAGTCAACGCTTTTATTAATTTTGTTTTTATTTATTTCCTTTTTGCTCATTGTTTTCACATCCTCCTTTCTTCTTTTGTTTACTGGCAATAATCTTGATTGTTGACTGGAACCTAGTGGCGGTATGGTAATTAATTTACTGGAAATGGTGGGAAAATATGAGTAGCAGGCGTTGACTTTGGTACCAAGAAATTCAATCTAAGACATTCCTCGGAGACTTTGACGAAGCAGGGCCTCCATTGGATAATCAAATGTTGGTTGGATAATCATTACTCAGCTTTTCTACGAAGAGCTGCAGTGACAGAACTAGATGGGCCGGCTTAATCAGGCCCGGAAGTTCGATACGGTATATTGGGCTTAGCGGGCTTATCACAACCCGAAGGGGGCGAACCATCGGGAGATAACCCACCTTCTAGCCCAACCCGTGCTAGAGTTGGCCCAATACCGGGGAATAAAGACAATACAACCTTTTCGGCGCCTAGAGGGCCCGAGTTGGAATCGGTCCTTCATGGCTCTTTTTGTTAAAGTACGAAAATGCCCTCTGAATGGGACGCTTTTTACTGCAAGGTTTTTCTGTTGCCGAATCCGATTCCGAACAAAAACCACTCACAGACTAGCACGTGGCGCACGCGGCAGCACTCGTCTTGTCCAAACTTCTCTCTAACTCTCTCTCTCTCTCTCTCTCAGTCAGGTGGAGAATGGAAGGAATAAAGTGTCGATCTTTGGCAAAGGAGAGAAATGCTAATCCCCCCACCCGCGAGCCCTTTAGAGGTTTACCTTTTACTTTACGAGAAGAACCTACCGTGCTTACGCTGCCATCTACTGCCGCCCTTCGTTTTTCTTGCCTTGTCCATCGTTTCTCTCTCTAAACCCTAACTGAGGGCCGCGTTCTGCGACAGCGGAGCACGCACAGGGAGGGGTGCCTCGCTATGGAAAGGAGCTCTCTTTTCTCCCCACGGAGGAGGAGGGAAGAATCGGCCCGGGTTCAGGGATTCTCTTTGCTTCAGAATCAGTCCAGGGGTTCCTTGCAAGGCGCCGCTTCCCCCGCTTCCTTGCAGCTTCCGGCGGCAAGGGAGAAAGGTGGAGGATGAGACTGGTGGCGGAGGTCGTGGAAGCCCCTGATCTTCCCCTCAAGGACGGAGAGGGCTCCGCCATCCCCTTCCCAGAGGTTCACACTTCTCCCGAACGTCACCACTCTCCGCCGCAGGCACCGGCGGCGCCGCCGGAAGTGAAGAAGCTCGAGACCGCCCAGCGGGTAGACAGGCAGCAGGTACCGTTAACGATGCTCCACCAGCAAACCTCCCATGGCGCTCCGCAGGAAGAAGAGTTCAAGCTGAAGGACACGAACCCGCAGCTGGGGGAGCGGTGGCCGGGCGGCGGCGCCAGCGGGTGGATGGGTGGCGCCGGCGGATGGTTCGCCGGCGGCAGCGACAAGCTGACCAGCACCTACGATCTTGTGGAGCAGACCTACTACCTCTACGTTCGCGTGGTGAAGGCCAAGGAGCTGCCCACTAGCCCCGTCACCGGGGGCTGCGACCCCTACGTGGAGGTCAAACTGGGGAACTACAGGGGCACTACGAGGCACCTGGAGAAGAAGGTCAATCCGGAGTGGAACCAGGTCTTCGCCTTCTCCAAGGACCGGATCCAGTCGTCAACGCTGGAGGTGTTCGTCAAGGACCGGGAGATGGTGGGGCGCGATGACTTCCTCGGTCGCGTGGCCTTTGACCTCAACGAGGTCCCCACGCGGGTTCCCCCCGACAGCCCGCTGGCACCGCAATGGTACCGCCTGGAAGACCACCGCCGCCGGGAAGGAAAGCTGCGCGGGGAGGTGATGCTGGCGGTGTGGGTCGGCACGCAGGCGGACGAGGCCTTCCCGGAGGCGTGGCACGCCGACACCGCCGCCGTGCAGGGGGAGGGCGTGGTCAACGTCCGCTCCAAGGTCTACGTCTCCCCGAAGCTGTGGTACCTGCGGGTGAACGTCATCGAGGCGCAGGACGTGGAGCCCGCGGACCGGCGGCGGCGGGGGGTGGCGGAGCTGTTCGTGAAGGCGCAGGTGGGGAACCAGGTGCTTAAGACCCGGGCTTGCGGGGGCGCCACCGCCCCGCTGTGGAACGAGGACCTGGTTTTCGTGGCGGCGGAGCCGTTCGAGGAGCAGCTGGTGCTGACGGTAGAGGACCGTGTGCACACCGGCAAGGATGAGGTGCTGGGGAGGATCTCGCTACCGCTGGGGGGCTTCGAGCGGCGGCTGGACCACCGCCCGGTGGCGTCGCAGTGGTTCAACCTGGAGAAGTTCGGCTTCGGGGCGCTGGAGGGCGATCGTAGGAAGGAGCTCAAGTTCGCGAGCCGCGTGCACCTTCGGGTCTGCCTGGAGGGCGCTTACCACGTACTAGACGAAAGCACCATGTACATCAGCGACCAGCGCCCCACGGCGCGACAGCTGTGGAAGCCGCCCGTCGGCGTGTTGGAGGTCGGCATACTTGGCGCGCAGGGGCTGCTGCCCATGAAGGCCAGGGACGGGCGCGGCGCAGCCGACGCCTACTGCGTCGCCAAGTACGGGCAGAAGTGGGTCCGCACGAGGACCGTCATCGACAGCTTCAGTCCCCGCTGGAACGAGCAGTACACCTGGGAGGTCTACGACCCCTGCACCGTCCTCACCCTCGGGGTCTTCGACAACTGCAACCTCGGCGGCGGCGGCGGCGGCCCCGCCAGGGACGTGAGGGTGGGGAAGGTGAGGATCCGGCTGTCGACGCTTGAGACGGACCGGATCTACACCCACTCCTACCCGCTCGTCGTGCTCCAGCCCTCCGGGGTGAAGAAGATGGGGGAGCTGCAGCTGGCGGTGCGCTTCACCTGCCTCTCCGTCGTCAACATGGTGCACCTGTACGGCCGGCCGCCGCTGCCCAAGATGCACTACGTCCACCCCTTCACGGTGAACCAGGTGGACAGCCTGCGGCACCAGGCGATGAGCATCGTGGCGGCGCGGCTGGGGCGGGCGGAGCCGCCGCTGAGGAAGGAGGTGGTGGAGTACATGCTCGACGCGGACTCCCACATGTGGAGCATGCGGCGGAGCAAGGCCAACTTCTTCCGCATCATGTCGCTGCTCTCCGGGGCCGTCACCATGACCCGCTGGTTCGCCGACGTCTGTCACTGGAAGAACCCCATCACCACCACGCTGGTGCACGCCCTCTTCCTCATCCTAGTCTGGTACCCGGAGCTGGTCCTCCCCACCGTCTTCCTCTACATGTTCCTCATCGGCCTCTGGAACTACCGCTTCCGGCCGCGCCACCCACCGCACATGGACACCCGCCTCTCGTGGGCCGACGTCGTCCACCCCGACGAGCTCGACGAGGAGTTTGACACCTTCCCGACGTCGCAACCGCAGGACGTGGTGCGGATGCGGTACGATCGCCTGCGCAGCGTCGCCGGCAGGATACAGACGGTCGTCGGCGACATGGCCACGCAGGGGGAGAGGCTGCAGTCGCTGCTGGGTTGGAGGGACCCGCGCGCCACCAGCCTGTTCATCGTCTTTTGCCTCTGCGCCGCCGTGACCCTCTACGTGACGCCATTCCGGGTGGTGGCGCTCGCCGCCGGCCTGTACCACCTCCGCCACCCCAGGTTCCGCAGCAAGCTGCCCTCCGTTCCCAGTAACTTCTTCAAGCGGTTGCCCTCAAGGATCGACAGCATGCTCTGATCAGTCCTTCCGCATCCCCTGTTTTCAAACTCCATTACATTTCAGTCGATTGATCCGCATGTTCATCCGAAAACAGCAAACCATTCCATTCTGGGATGGGAATCATTCGTTTCAAGAGAAAGCCCGCTGCGCAGGAGCCTCGGTAGAACTGAACCCACCCGTCATCTGGGAACAGATTAGGGTTTTCTCTCACGTCGCGGCAGGGGAAAGCCTCGGCTGCTGCTCTGCGGGCTTCATTTCTTCGAGAAGCAGAGCCAGACGCGTTCACGTCTCAACGCAGGTGTGGTGTGATGAATCTGGACCGTCCGATCGCGTGAGGAAGCTGAAGTTCGTTTGGACCGTTGGATCAAAGGAGGGTGGCCCGAGGGGCATTAGGCCCAAAGTTATAGAAAAGAAGCATTTGAGTGGCCCATTAATCCGGCCGCCCATTGAAGTGGCTTAGGATCGTGACACGTCAGCCGGCAGTGCGGTTACTTAATTACTCGCAGAGCACTTGGTAGGAGCTCGTCTCTTCACTCCCTCACAACCCTCCTCCGGCCGGTGGTCGAAGAAACCCTTCCTCCGGCGAAATCCTCCGTCCCGTTCCCCATCCCTACTCGCCCCATTCCGATCCTGCTCGTTCGCGGTGATCTCCTCCGACGGAGTCCACGGGGAGAACGGAGGCACAGGGGGAAGAGATGAACGAGGAGCGGCCCGATCCCTCCGCCGCACCCCCGCTACTTCTCCGGCCCCGCAGAGAAGTTTTCGAGTACGGGCTGCTTCCTATTCCCAAGCTCATCTTCACCGATGGAACCTTGACCCTCGGATCCATCAAGCAGAGGTTCCTCCAGAAGGCGGCATCACATCAGTCCAACGTAATTGACGCCGCCGGAGTGGCGGACACGCTACAGATATCGAATGATCACGCGGTCCTCGTCCTTGAGACCCTTTCCTCTGTGCTTCCCCCCGATGCCGAGCTGCGTGCACCAGAAGGGGCTGCGGACGTGCATGATTTGCTTCTCTTTCTTTTCGTACAATCTTACAAGCGGCTGCTCCCGAGGACACACAAGGATGCCGCTGCTGTTGCTGATGTGTGGCCACATGCTTCGGCATTTGACGGATATCTCTCTGCTCTCTCACCCCTACAGGTGTGCCCTTTTTGCCAATGTTATTCCCTATACATGTAAATTAGTATTACAATGTTAAATAATTTTCTTGTATTTTTTTGATATTTTATATTCTAGTATGGTTAGTTTTGTCGTAGTCTTGGTATGTAAAACTTCCCGTGTGAAAAAAAAAGAGAGAAGACGTAAAGGATTATTTCTCGTTTTAAACCTTATCTTCAGTTTCCTTTCAAAATGCTCTGACTGGGTTCTCAAAGTCTGCAATCAGATGCTTGGAATTTCACAAAATTGCAACTTAGTTTACCACGAAGTAAACTCTGAATCTGTTCGGAATAGTTGCCATAAGCTGTGAAAGCAAGCATACTAAAGCTTGAATTTTTAAGATTTTGACATTTCTTTCGGCAGGAATCGAGTATGTTTGGAACATCAATACCTTGGTATGAGCTTGAATTACGTGGCACTTCTTGAAAGGAGGATGCCATGCAAATGGTTGATTTTTTTTCGTGTTATTTTCTTGCTGAGATGTAACTTTCTTTCATATGGAATAATTGGGCTAAAGGAGGGTTACTGAAAGTGAGGAAACATGATAATGTGCTGCATGGGTTATGCATGGACCTTCCTAAACTCTGAAATTAGTTAATGAATCTTGGCCAGGATCCAATTCCTCACTGTTCTTTTTTATTTAGTAATGTAGCTTATGTCCAAGGAGGACCATTCACTTCGATTTATTTCCTTGTATCACATAATTACTGCTTAATTAACAGAGAACAATCTTTCAGGGTGTAAGGTTAGGATAATTCTGATCATATAACAAAAAGTGATGCTTTGGAATTTAATAAGTGTTCTCCATTATTTTAGTCTTCCTAACTTGAAAACGTTTTTGCATTTATTACGTAATGCCCTTTTTTTAAATAATAAAACCGTGCACAAAATAGTTATTCTTTTGTCTGCCAGTTTGTTCGCAGCAACAATCGTCGTTTTATGCCATCACAAGCTGATGAAGAGGCACATCAGCTTTCATATCTACAAAAGCACATGTCTAACATCCTCGCTCTTTTGGGTCAACCTGTTGAAGGAGAGGGTGAAGAATCTCTGGTAGGTAAAGAAAAAAAGGGCAATACTATTCTTTCTAGACTTTCACGTGCTGTTGTTGTTTCTATATACTTACACTTGAAGGCCTCATTTATTTTTTTATTTTTTAAATCACACATCAGTCAAAAAATATAAACGTCTAAATTCAATGAGAGTAATCCTTGTTACATTTTTTTTTCTTTGGATTTTTTACTTAACGTAGGTGATATTTATGATAAATGTGATTATATTTTTTTTCTTATGCAATCAAAAGTGTTGATCAACATTGAGAAATGATTGGGATAATGAGAAACTAATTGCTGATTCAGGATACTGAACCAGATAATAGGCCTATCTATGATTTCCCTGTGTGAATTTTATTTCAGGAGTAAGATGCTAACCATTGAAAACTTAAGTTTGGAATCGTAGTGGTGAAGTTGTCAAGGAGGTGTTCTGGAACATTGATTCATAAGAGAGTAATGAGCCCATTTCTGTCAGCATTTATGGCAATCTATTTAGCAGCTACACAGCACTGGGTATATTTTTAAATACACTACTTGTGTAGAGCGATGACAATGAGGACCACCGTTATGTATCTCATTGTCTGCTATCGAATTTGAAATCTCTGCTTCCAGTCTCTGATCAGTGCAATTATTTATTTGTAATTGTTCCTATGAGTATCACATTCGTAACTCAGAATCAATATATTTGTTTAGGATCCTAGGTAGCCCACATCTGGGATTTTCTGACTAAATTCTTACCTCAAAAATCTTTGCTGTTGGGGCTACTTCTTTTTGAGTTCTTAAATTTTCCAAAGATATGTTACATGTTACTGATTTGTCTTCAAGTCGTAGGTAGTCTGGGAAAGTTGTCATCAGTATCAGAATCCATCTCGATATAGCAACTCCATTTCATGTTATCTGTAGGTTAGGTTTGCTGCAGCAAAAGATGAGCTTTCTCCTGCTATGCCACAATAGGTGATGGTTGTAGGGAATGTGGAGGGTTGAGCAAATAAATTACCTTCATGTATATTTCATCATTCCATGGACAAGTGTTTACTCATCCATTGAGTAACTAGTTTGAATGACAAGCATTTGTCCTGGTGAGAGAAATGGTAAGAAAGAATATGGCTTAACTTTTTCATCATCTTGTTTCCAATTAGTCTTCCGAATATATTTTCTCTTGTTTTCTTTTTTCCTTTTGATTTTCAAACAAAGAGCTCCGTCAGATCTCATATCTTTCCTCACAATCTTCTCTTTGATTGTCTGTAGCATATCTATCATTTTCTGTATTATTTAAGCAGACCTACATCTTAATGCATGCTATCAGTCCCTTTAGGAATCACTTTTAAGATACTTTTACTTATTCCTGCTCTTTTCTATTTCAATCGTACTCGTTGCATGACGTCATAGTCTATGGTTGTGTAGGAAGCTCCAACCTTGACGTTTCTCCATTATATTCCTTGTATATTGTCTTTGACTACCGTTATATGTGGAGCACTATTTGTCCCAACTATGCTGTTTAAACTGTAGAGCATGATATTGTAACAATGCAATGTGCATCTATATCTATTGATCTAAGTTCTCAATAATGGTCTACTTTCTTGAGAAATGACAGTTTTAATTCATTTCTGAGTGTTCTGCCGTTCTTATAAATTTAATTTGAGAAGATTTTGTTTTTTGAGTTTCTAAGGGACATTTTCACTTGGAAAAGCATGCAAGAAATGACACAAGAAAAGCTTGAGCCACAAAAAGTGATACTTTTACCTCCAATGAGGTCTATCTTCATAGCTAGGGTATTCTTTTTCTGTTCGGGGAGGGGGGGGGGTTAGGGGGGATAGGGGGGATAGGGGGGATAGTGGTGGTTGTGGTTCTGTTTTCTTCTTGCGGTGGTATTTTTAAAACATTGGAACATGTGCATGTTATGTATGCTCGAAAAGGCATAACATAAAAAACCACGGGACAATGCTTCATCTCTGTTTTCTGCGTGGTTCCTTCGATTGGTGGGTCTGTTTTTCGGGGTACTATGGTGGTTGTCTCTCTGCCTTGTAGCATTGTATTTTTAAAATATTGGTGCATAGTCATCCCATGTATGCTAGAAATGGCCTTACATTGAAACCATTGTAACAATGGCTTCATCGTTGCTTCCTGGGTTATCTCTGCCTTGATAGTTGGGTTTGCTTTAGGGAGAACCATTGTGGTTGCGGGTATGCTTTTTTCGGAGCATTGCATTTTTTAAACGTTGTCAAACGAACTTGCTCGTTTTGCCTACTACTTTAAGATGTGCATTGTTCTTTATCATGTCTCTATTGTCCACAATTGAACAGATTGCACGCCTCATCCTTCTAGACACTTCTTTTATTTCATTTGTTTCTTGCCAAAATCCATGTGATGATTTTTTCTGATGCATTGTAGGTTACACAGATATATACTTTTCTGCATTAGATGACATTCAAACCAACTGGAATCTACCGCCTCTGTAAAACCAAGATTTTTCATGTTCGTATGCCTAATGACATGAATCAATGTGCAGCATAATTTTTAGATATTAATACTTTTTGAGAATCTCTTGCTGTTTACTTTCTCTGCCATTTCTTTGAAGAAACTGGAAATAGAATTGGGAAGTCCTCCATTAATTTTTTACAGATAGTGTGTGAACTTGTTCTCGAGTGATCCAATGGTTATATGTACGTATGTTTCATTCTTATTAGATGGCAAATGCCACGAGAGTTTGTCTTTAATACATCTATGCAACCTTGAAGTTAATCTAGGAATGGGAAACTATTTTCACCATTGACAAATGTTCCATTTTCCATTTTCTGTTCATGATTAATTCATGAATTTGATAATTTAGCAAGTTGCATACTTTATTTGCTAGTTTTTGAATTCGCGTCCACTATTCAATAGTTCAAGCTGCCAAGTGTAAGTATCAATTGATGGCTATATTGTTTTGTTTGAAGAAACCTGAAATATCGATTAAAATGTTTTGTATTCTTACTATAGCTATGTTTCACATGTAGATCTTGACACTAGAAATGTTTCAACGGCTTGGATTTCTGCTTCAATTTGGTGACAAAGATCGTGGAGGAATCTCTCTGAGCCAGGCGTCACCCTTTTTTGTTAACTCGGATCCAGATATGCCCGCTGCTCCTGTATCCGTCTCACAGGTCCTAGATTGGCTTTTGGAAAATATCGCTGCTTCTTTAGAGCAACTTGCCGAGAAGCAATATGCTAAAGACAATGGTGCACTAAGTATATCAGATGTAGATGTTACAATGACTGATGCTTGCTCCAATCAGGGGAAGGGCCAGAGCCCCTCACCAACTGGGACTACGTTGCGAAGTCAGGCTTTTGTGGAGGGCATATCTAAAGCATCTGTGGTCAGGCAAGCTTGTGATTTAATAGGAAGTACCGTTAAGGTGAGGACCTGGAAATTTAACCGCAGATGTAAGATTGCCGCAGATCCGACACTGTATCTCTTCACATTTATACCTTAACCTTTGACTATTATTACTCTAAGTTCCTGAAATGTTTTGATCTGATTTTCCAACTTTGACTTCATTGCTTAGTGTAAAGTTGCGAGCTTACTTTGTGCAGTCGTTCTTGACCTCAATATCCCTTATATAATAGTGTGTGGGCCGCACTGGCCACACCTCAAGACCTGTCAAGGCCATGGGGAATCGAAGTTAGATTCTGGTAGAAAAAAAATCCTATATATCTAATCCAAATGTATATGTTGGGATAGATGTACACTACGTGCCAAACTAAGTTTTTTTCTACTAATACTAGTTCTTCCTATATGATATAGGAATACGCTCTAACAACAATAAACACTCGATTGTTGTAAGAAAACGATAGGAGCTAAAGGTCTTTGTCTTGCTGTATGTCTGACCTGGCTTGCTTGAGATATCCGCCAAAGAGAATTCCTCTTATAAGCGGGCCCCTATAAAATAATATTTTTTTGTTTGTTTTTCCTGTCCAAGTTTTAATTCTTTACTTTTGTCTAAGTGTAAAAGAAAAATGAAATAACGCCATATCTCATTTCCGTTTGACAGCTTTGTTCCCGAAATTGTCTAAAAAAGGAACTAGTGCGAAGCTAGACTTGTGATATGTTAGTGCCGTGGTTTTTTATTTTTCAGTAGCTTGAAGGGTTTAACTGTTGGCAATTAGGTATTCATTGGACCAGAATACGCTTGAGGCAATTATAAAATGTTATGTTCTTCTAATGTAATCAAAGTATCTGATGCCCTATTATTGCAAGTTTTCATATGTATACTGCTTTACACATTTCTTTTATGCAAGTGTACAGTCAATGATTAGTCTCATTCTGCTTTTCATGGAATGTGAATCCTCTATGTGAGCTTAATTTAAACGTTCTCATGTACTCAGAAAACTCTTTCTTAGAAACTTAGAAACCCATTGTTTTATTTATCCTATTGAATTTCTTCACTGCAGGTTCTTAATTGCCATGATTCAGTTATTTACATTCTAGCACCTTTGAGATATGCTACAATTTATGGATGTTCTGATGCAACTGTTGTTCTTGGGGCGATTGGTAAGGTATGCATGATAATGCCACTACTCGCTATTTTTGTTCATAATTTTCAATATTTTCATGGCCTTCTGCAGGAAACTAGAGATTTCTCATCAGGCATAGTTCATTTGTAGTCTGTGATTTCATGATATTTTTATAGTATGTGCGTTTTGTTTGAGCATGTAGGTTTTGCCAATTGAGAATATTGCCCGACTTTATTGCCCTGAACAGACAATCATATCTTTGATGACATTTGTTAAAACTTATGTACATGAAATTACTGGTAAGGAAAAATATGGTGTATTGGCTTGCTGTTTATCAGATTTGTTTGGACAAAGGTTGAAAAACTATTTTCTTTTGTGGATTGAATTGGGCAACAGCCAAGCCAATCCACAAACGTGACCAATTAAATGGGCAAATACCTATACGAAGAGGGAAAATGAGCTAGATTTATGCAATTTAATTGAAGTGAGCGAGGGTTTTTTCTGAGTATGTGCTATGATTTTTTCTTTTCAGGCATGTATTCTGTATTATGGTCCTGTTGTAGGTCTTGATCGTTGGTTGTATCTTATAGTTTTACTACATCCTCTTAATAACAAAAGACAATTGGCTTCTTCTAATGTGAATCGTTCCTAGGGAAAGGTGAATGCTTTATATAACTTGGGCGCGCTTCATTGGGTACTCATGTGTCCTTTTATTCCGCTAATATTACATGTCATATATTTGAATTAGTTCTAGTAATGCTAAAACCGATGAAGTTAACCCCTTGGAGTTTTATGGGTTTTCAAGTATCATATGCCGAGGCCTTGTAAATTCTCAGATAGCTCATCTATAGGAACTATATTTGGGGTTAACTTAGTCGCCTGCCCTTCGTTGTTTTTCTTATATACAGTTAGCAATATTGATCTATGGAAAACATGTTTTTCTACTTTCCATCAACAAAAAGCTGTTGATCTTCATTCCCATAGTGGTTTGTTTTCATATATCAAGTTGAATCTCAGTTTACTTTAAATATTTGCCTCTCGCCAGATAAAAGCAAGTTTTTACTACATTGCACCTTCCATTGATCATCGTGTTACTTATGCCCATTTCTTTTAATGTCTTCTATGGTGGTTGTTTACCTGGTATTTGGAGTTTTGAAAACAAGGTATTGTGTTATGATTCCTTTGTAGGCCGTGAGAGTTGAACACTGTGAAAGAGTGCAAGTCATTGCTGCTGGAAAACGTATATGCATTGCTAACTGCCGTGAATGCATGTTCTTCTTGGGGGTTAATCAGCGGCCTCTTATTCTTGGTGACAACCATAAACTGCAGGTACGAATTTTCTGTTCATATCTAGTGATTTTTGAATCGATCGCTTAGATTGCCTGTGTATGCCTGGGTTGATAAATGTCACATGCATGGTTCTGATGTATTGCCTCAGCCAGTTGTGACTACCTTTTCTTCAAAGATACATGCTGTACTCCTGGCTACCTGCTGATTTTGCCAGAGAATGATGGGAGTTCTTCTCAGACGGCCTGATAAAAAATGACACAATATACCAATGTAATAGTTGTATATCGTTATTTAATTTGAAATTGAACTTAAGGGAACCTTTCTCTAGGTCTCAGGCATTCTGAATAGCCTAAGCAGTAAGCACAGTCTTGTGCAATATAAATTCCGTATTTTTGTGACTCACATTTGTGAAACCTACCGACTTATCAACAATTCTCACAATAGGAAAATCGAAACACGATCTTCGTGAACAGGTGAGAGTTGGAAAGGCTCTCTCTGAATTCTACTTGGGGGATCATGCCACATCGTGATGCTAGCTACCTCTTGAGGGGAAACACGTATTTATAATGATTTTTCCTTCTTTTTTTAACCACAAACTTACTTTCTGTTTTGTTATTTGGTGCTGAGTTTTTGTCCTCTTCCACAGGTGGCACCTTATAATACGTATTATTCAAAGCTGAATGAACACTTGGCACAAGTATGTCTCGATACAGCTATTAACAGGTGGAACGAACCGGTAGTACTGGGAATGGTTGATCCACATGACTCATTATCTCATCCAGCTGGGGTTTCTGATGTCCAGGCAGAATCTGCTACATGCCTCGATCCTGATCAATTCACAATGTTTTTGGTACGTTTTTCTTTCACTTGGTTTAGGTGAATGATAGTAGATACCCAATAAATCTCCATTATTTCTAGGTGAAACTATCTTTTTGATCATGCTAAAATAATGAATCGGCCATAAGATTGTTTTTCTGTTTCCTTTTGGAATAAATATTATGGAACCGTTGAAATATGTTTTTTTGCCCAATTATTTTCGTGTTTAGTTGGTTTTTATCTTGTTTGTACTGCTACTCTGCAGATTCCAAGCTGGTTTGGAGGTGAATCCGCTCAGCCCACCAGTGACAACCCGTTTCAGCTTCCCGAGATTTACAGGACATCTCAAGAAAGACGTGTATGAATCTGAACTACAGAATTCTATCTCAACATTGCTAATGATTATTGTTTTAGCCTCTTATTTATCAGTCTTTCATGGTGTTCCTCTGATTTTGAAGAACTTTGGGTCTTACTCAACACATTTGTGTTGGGACTGAGGTTTCTTTTGGGGGGGGGGGGGGTTCTATTCAAGAGTTTCACTTTCAAATATATGCTATTGCTAATTTTCATAAGCATCTTCTATGTTTTTCGCTTCTTATCTGATTGAAATACTCAATCGTGGACTTTTTAATAGCGTTCGGGTTTGAACGATATCCACCAAGCCCTAAGAGAGTCGCAACTCGAAGAGAACCGGAAACAAGAATTGTCATCTGCCATTCATGTACATTTCAAGGACTGGCTATATGGTAATAAGCTGCCCCAACTCGTATATTTTGCCTTTGGATGTTATAAGCCCTTTATATCCTATTTCTCATCTTTATTTGATGATATTTTCTTCCAATTGGTATAGTTTTTCACGCGTAATAGTTTCATCTTTATTTGGATTCGCATAGATATATTTTTTTCCTCATACGCAAAACTCCATTGACCTTGGGGTTGTTTCATGCCTTTTCGCCTGCCTGCCACCAGTCGCTCTGTTAGGTGGTGCCGATGATTACGAATAAATAGAGAGCAGAGGCCCTGCTGAAGACTCTTCAAGGTTCTTTGGCAACTAGAAAAATACCTAATGTTTTATGAAATTGAAAGCTATAATCACGTCAAGATAGAAAAAGCTATCCCACAAACTTGGTGTCTGGCTCACAAAATCTCAAAACGTTTATAGTTTCCAGGGTAGCTGTGAAGATTGCGACATATAGTATCAACATATAATCTCTGTAATGTAATATTAATGAAGATAATAAATAAATAATATTAAAAACTTTTAATATGAAATAAATATGTGGACAAACCATAAATGGCCTCAAATGTCTCACTCTTCTCGACTCTCTGAATTCTATGGAAATGTCCTATTTTTATATCCTAGCATGCAGAATCATGGGACCCCACGCCATTTACATTGTCTCAATCTCCTTTCCAAACCTGGTAATTCTCAACTTTTGTGGAACATCCAGCTCAGAACCTATTGACACTGAATGGAACAATTCCGTTCATAAAACCACTGGTTTTATTCATCCTGTCATGTGCAAGTTTTTTCAGACTATATATCTGAGACATTTAATGCAGAAATAATCATCAATGAGTGGAATGGTCTCTCTATGTAATACATGAAATGTTTCCATTTGTTCTTAGATGGAATGGCCCATGAGATAGTTGATGCCCTGAACAAATAATCTGCGATCAGTTTGGTCAGACTGAGAGTGGATCTCATTACCAGTCCCTGCAGACGATAAATCTGACTAATAATTTTACATATATATGTATCAGACGAAAGTTCATCCGAGCCATTTTTTGTGGGGATTTATTTTTTTATGGTTGGAAAATATGGTCAACTTATCTGCCATGGGACCATCTGACGGGCGTCTGCCTCTGTTTGTACGTCATTTATCAGCTTCGGGGAACATCCGCCAGCTCTACTGTCTCCAGGGTGATTGAATCCCCGTCTTGCCCTGTACATGCGGTCCACCTTTTGCGGCGACTGTAGATTTGACCTCTGACAACCACCCCATATCCTTATCACATGTTCTTCCGCTTTCAGTAGCTCTCTCATAAGTGGCTGCGAGCTGAAGAGGTCCCAAGCATGTGTATCGTACAATCGGTTCATAGATTTTTGTTTGTCTCCTTGGATTGCAATGTGAATGCCCTCCTCAAAGCCCTAAATGAATCTTTTTTTTTTCTTTTTTGGGTTTTGTTTTGGTTCCAGAATTGTGCTTAAATCAAGAGCTAGTGGCTGTGGTTTGGACGAAATCAGGGTAAGAATCCCAGCCAAAAGTTGCTCAAAATGGGAATATTGTATGATGCTGCGCAGTGCTGCACAAATTGGATAATTATTATTTTTTTCCTTCTTCTGGGCATAATAATAAACTGTTGGTGGATTGTTTTTATTTTTATTTTTTTTATTTGGAATTTCTCGTGGGGATTGCAAGGTCTTCGGGTGGGAAGTCTTGCAGCAGCAGGTACTGCAGCGCTCTGCCAAAAAAATTGATCTGCTTTTTTTTCCTGTTTTTTTTCTCTACGTCCAAAATTAGAAAAAGTACGGGCTAATTATGGTGAATATGCCCGCATTAATCGCCTGGAGATGTTCTTGACCATGATCAATGGGAGATTGAGGATGCATTTCTCTGTAGATGCTCATATCGTTACTCAAATAAAAATAAATAAGTCAACGGGTGGAGTGAGTTTATCTGCCGCAAGGTCAAAGTTTGTCTCTTCTTTTTTTTTCCCTATTGTGAGCTTGTTTTGACTTTCTATATTTATTTATGGTGCAAAGTAATGTATGACTTCAGAGCAAGCGCCATCTCCGAGATCGTCTGTTACATAAATGAGTTGGCTATTTCTCATCTGTATTGACTTTTTTCGGATTTCATCTGACTCAAAAAGTCTTACTGGTGCAAACTAAATGGAGAATAATTATCATATCATTACTCAAATAAAAATAAATTAGTCAACGGGTGCGGTGAGTTTATCTGGCGCAAGATTAAATTTTTCATTTTATTTTCTATAGTGAGCTTGTTTTGACTATAGTCATTTATTATGGGAGGTAATGTATGACTTTAGAGCAAGCACCATCTCTGAGATCATTTGTTATAGAAATGATTTGACCATTTCTGATATGGTTTGACTTTTTTGGGATTTTTGTCGTCTTAAAGAACATTACTGGTGCAAACTAAATGGAGAATAATTATCATTTCCAGCATTTATTAGAATTTACAGAATGGTTTAGGGGGAATCTTTGGATAACACGCTGTTTAAGTTGTTATATTTTTTATTATCTAATTTTTTATTTAAACCCGATTTGATTCATGTATTTCGACGAATCGCCGGAACCCACCCGGATGTACATATCTGTAATTATTATTATAACTATATATGTGTATAAATATCCATAAACGGATATGGCTTCCTCATCCTTTTTCTGCCCGGGAGCGGTCGACCTCCCCCGCCACTCGATCTCTGGTGAAACCCCCGAAAAGCCTTCAACTCAGGGAGAGAGGAGCCGAGCAGGAAGAAACCCAACCTATCCCGAGGCTATGGCGGCGATATCTTCCCTCGCATCTCCCCACCTCCTCCAGAGGCCGTCGAATGCCGCAGCGGCCCACAAAATTCCGCTTCTGAGAGTTGCTTCCTTCGGGAGCTCCAGGGTCTGCCTGGATTCGCCCCTCGTCTACCCTCTCCGGGGAAAGAGGAGCCTGGGAACGGTCTGCGTCGTGGCCCAGGAGGCTTCCGGCGCGGTCCAGGACCTGTCCTCTGAGGCGGCGAGAAGGCTCTACGTGGGCAACATCCCGAGGAACGTCAGCAACCAAGAGCTCTCCTCCATTTTCGGGGAACATGGTTCAGTCGAGAAGGCTGAGGTTCTCTCCCTCCTTCCTCATCACTTCTCGTTTCTCTTGAGTTTGTCCTGTTTAAGGTCGGAAATGCCGGGTACATTTCCAAATTGGGTGCTCGGGATGAATAGATAATCGATTATTTTTTCTCAAGATCGTCCTACGATGTTAGATACTTCACTAGCCATTGCTTTTGACTACAGCCTGCAATGGCACATTGCTTTTGACTTCCAGACGAGTGAGCTAACGTTTTTTCTTTCCATAAAAGCTTCTGAAACGTTGACATTTGCGGTTAAAAACCACTATGAGTGAATGTGCTGGGTTTTTTTACTATTTTCTGTGATTATCCACAAGCCTAGTATGCCTCGTCCTTTGTGTCCTTAATGGGCAAGAATCATTGAGTCAGGGTGTTAAAATGCTCCAATGCTTGTTCTCAGGTCATGTATGACAAGTACTCTGGAAGAAGCCGGCGGTTTGCTTTCGTGACCATGAGCTCGGTGGAGGATGCCAACGCAGCCATTGAGAAACTGAATGGCTCAGTAAGCTTTATTTCTCAATGCCTTTCCCATCTGTTTTCATTGATCCAGTGCCCAGTTCATAAAATTTGCACCATCAGTCAATACCCAGACTGCTCTATTTAATGGCTCAGTAAGCTTTATTTCTCAATCCCTTTCCCATCTGTTTTCATTGATCCAGTGCCCAGTTCATAAAATTTGCACAATCAGTCAATACCCAGAATGCTCTATTTAATGGTGCAGTAAGCTTTATTTATTAATCACTTTCCCATCTATTTTCATTGATCCAGTCCCCAGTTCATAATTTTTTGCACGATCAGTCAATACCCAGAATGCTGTATTTAATGGCTCAGTAAGCTTTATTTCTCAATCACTTTCCCATCTATTTTCATTGATCCAGTCCCCAGTTCATAAATTTTTGCACCTTCAGTCGATACCCAGAATGCTCTATTTTAGTAAGATTGGTTTCTCCTCCATTTGATGCCATTTTAATCTGCAACAGGATATCGGGGGGCGCCAGATCAAAGTAAATGTGACGGAGAAGCCCCTGCAGTCCCTGGAACTCTCTCTTCCCCAAGTAGATGAATCCTCATTTGTCGACAGCCCCTTCAAGGTCTATGTGGGCAACCTCACCAAGAACGTGACGAGTGAGGTGCTCACCAAGTTCTTCTCCGAGAGGGGGAAGGTCCTCAGCGCCAAGGTCTCGAGGGCCCCAGGCACATCCAAGTCCAGCGGATTCGGGTTTGTGACATTCTCATCTGAAGAAGACGTGGAAACCGCCATTGAGTCGGCGAACAATGCTGTGAGTATCTCCCTCCCCTCTCACCCAGAACATAGTTTACAGCATTATTCAGCACATGAAGCGAAGTAGGTGAAATCATACCTCAAAGCTTCTGAGCTTTGCTGTTGAACGATTGGTGCTTTCAGTTCTTGGAGGGGCAACGGATCCGCGTCAACAAGGCGTAGGCTTGCGAGATGAAGAACCCGAGGCGGACACTGAGGGATTTGAATAGATGCTGCCAGGGACTGGAGCTTCCAGATTCCGTCATCTCCTAGAATAGCTGAATTGTAAACAGTTTCCTCTTCGGATTTTGCAGCCCGTCGGCCTTTTTCTATGATAAAATGCAAATTCCAATTCTCTCTCTTTTTTCTTCCGGTTTTCTTGTGGGGTGCGTGCTCGCCGAGCAGGTGAAGTGCTGCTTGGGGCTGAGATCTTGCTTCGACTCAGAGCTCTTTGAAGCTGAGCATCAGCCCCGCGAGCCAGGCTCACCCATATGATGAATGATTGGGCGCATTGACAGTGCCATGGAATCTGATTTAAGTAGATTGTCCGTTCAGGGAAACCCAGTAGAAGAAATCATCTGTGGCCATTGCTGCTGATCTCAACGCAAAACATCCAGAAGGAAGCCAAGGATTTTATTTAGAACATGTCTCCTTTGAGGTCCTTGAAAATATTAAGGGGATTAAGAGTACAGAACGGGAAGAAAGAGAGCTTGAGGAAGCCTTTTCAACCAGAAAAAAAAGAAAAAAAAGGCAGCAAAAGACCGTCATGAGAGAAAAAGTACAGAGGAGAGTTCCAGTGGCCAGTCGAAGCTCTTTCTCCTGGCTCGTCTGTCTCAAGGCAATCAGCTGACAGAGGGCCTCTTCTCCACTGTGTATGGGTAGTACTCTTTACCATTGTCGATCCTTGTGGTCTGGCCGCCGGCATCCAGGACTGCAGAAGTGAAAGCTAAGGCCGAACCAGCTTTGATTGCTGTCTTAATATTCCGGCCTGCAGAAAAATATTAGGAGGGGAGATTAGTGACGGTGTTCATTGTTTCCTTAGAAATCTCCCTGTTTATATGAAAGAGAAGCGATCACATGATCAGCACAAAATAGTGGAGCATTATAGCAAATCATGATTTGGTGTCCACAAGATCTGTGGGCATGAAGTTTCAAACAACGGGAGATATGCCTTCTTTCTTTATATGAAGCATTTTGTGATAATCTTCCCCATTAAAGCTTGAACCGAACCCATATTAACTTCTCGGGGAAGATTTAATCTGTTCGTCATGGGAGCGAAGATAAATTTATCCAGTCAGACGAGAAAAAATCAGCATTCATCCGACTGATCTGGAGTAGGCATTCAGAACAGATCATTTCTGGAAATCAAAAGGTGACAAACAAGGTTTCTGCAGCAAACCCTCGTTGAATTGATTCATAGTTCTCTGAGGGAACTGTAAATGAAGCAGAGGACATGAATTTGTGAAGGAACAAATTATATAATATTACACATCGGTACTCCCTTACACTTTGGATTGGTTCTTGGCGACAAGGAATATGAACAAGATAGGTATCAATGATCACCAAGGCAACTATCAACTTGGATTGGATACAATGACATCCAACATTGGCAATGAACAATTTGGTGGGTTATTATTCACAAAACGCGAAGACAAGGAAAATCAGCTCAATAACAGTGGATCACACAATCATGTGACACTTCCCAAAAATAATCAGATATAAAATAATTTAACATGGTCTAGAGAATTCATTTCATTTTGGTCATAATCTTTAAATCATACTGATGATCTGATTGGTTAAAAACTCCAGAAATAGACAAATACCGTTTAACATGTGTAAATTGACATGCCAAGGATTATCCTTCTTACTGACAAATGAGGAAACCTCCCTGAGCTGACAGTACTACAACAGGCTGATCCAGCCTTTGTCTACAGATAACTTCCCCAGCTGTAAGATCAGACCTGAGATGGGACGTTCCTTCACGGCCGATCAAACAAAAGCAAACCAAAAGCAAACCAAAAGCAAACCCAGAGTTGGCTCAACTTTTCACTTTTAAGGTCAGTGTAACAAAATTCTTCCGAGTGTTTACAAAACGCACAAAATAATGAATTTATATCGTACAAATTTGATCAGCCCTATGGCCTAGGATCATTAGAAATTTATTTCAGAAGATTTCCACAGTTAAAAAAAGGTTGAATCAGCGTGTAGTATGTTACAGCATGCAATACTCGACCACTACAGAGAAGACGTCTACTTTTCACAACGAAAGATGGGGTTCACCACTTAGTTTCTCTTTTATACGGCTCAAGACAACGATAGAAACAACATGCATAACTACCGTATCTACCATTAAATCTATGACAATTGGTTCTAAGAAAAATTGTGAAAACTGTTGCGACTGACCGACTGTCAAGCAGGTTCTGTTTTTTCTAGATTATTCATACAATGTACAGAAAAATTCGTCATAAAGTCCAAAAGTAAAAGTCGTTCACCTAAATTTTTATCATGGTCATTTTAGGCACTCATACCGATAAAAATTATCAATGCTTTATTGTAGGCCAAATAAAAATGGGATCAAGAAATGTAGGTCCAGCAAAGTAGGTCAAACTGTAAAACTTGATCATCACAATTTGTTCATATTCTGATCTTCGCAAAGAATAGATTTGTCTGCACATTTCCTCAGGAGTACCTTTCTATTCATAAGACGTCATTACCGGGTAGCCTACACCCTCCCCCCCTCTATTTCTCTTTTCCGCTTTTCTGTTTATATTCATCTTAGGTATACTTCAACTGGTACCTTCGCATCGCTTTGGTCTTTGAAACACTGCTTGACCACATTCTGGATGGTTATCTCAATGATATACAACTTCAAAAGTGGTGTAGAAAGTCGAGTGGCAATGCCCTCCTTGTACATGGCTTCTTATTACACGTCCGCAATGATTTCCTCATTGAATAATCAGAAATGATAAATATTGAGATAGCTTCCACCTTTCAGAATTCATCAGGCTCCTAACCAAATCTTCAGCACATGAAATACAAATTATTTTCCAGCATTAGGTTCTTGTTTAACTCGAATCATCAAATACCGGATATGAGTAGGTTTCCCAGTTCAAGGAGATTTATGGAACTGACGCTTTGCAACAAACTACTTGTCTCTTCAAACAGCCAGATTCTTATCAGGTCCTTATTTCCCCTTTGCAAATGGTTTTACAAAGTGTATGAACAATCTGATCATAAACCATAACAGAAATTTCCATTTGTTTTGATATTTCTATTGGGAATTGTGATGGACGCATATACATTAGTTTGACATCTCTACAGTGTTACTAAATTAGAGATCCTAATTGATGGAAAAAATAATAAACTAAAACGTACGACATGGTACATAATGTAATGCTGATGATGCTGATGATTACTAACATCCTTCTACTAGACTTAGACAATGAAATAAATAATGGGCAAGAAATAATTATGGAAATTTAATACGAAAATATAATGGATATGATTATAAAATCTGAATGGAAAATTTTAATTCATCAGCATCAAAAACTAAACTAGAAACATACACTAGGGGATCACAATACCACAAAATTATTTTGTCACTCAAATGGAAATGTCATAAAATGGGAACGTCACACATTTCAGGAAGTCTATAAGACCAACAAAGAAAAGACCTCATTAGTTGATATTCGACATGCTTGTACTCGTGAATTTATATACGCATAATCCCTCCCACTGATGCTTGATAAGGAACTGTCGAAACAACCATATTCAGGAAAATCTAAAAAAATATCTGTAATGCCAGGAGATCGAAAATTCTCCCCAAAAATTTATAGATATACTGAAACCTCAGAGTGTAAACCGCAGCTGTCAGATAGGAGAAGATAATTTTCCTATTATGTGCATTAATAGCCCATCATTGACGGGAGGAATGAATTTGGGTCCAGGAAATGGGTAAAGATAGCATCCACGATTCTGTACATTATAATGTCATTAGAATGATTTTTTTTAGGTATGTTCTCATGATATTGAAAATTCAATGCAGCATTTTTATCCGGCAACCCTTTGCTCAGCAACAACTGACTCCAAATGTGTAGGGCCATTGATGAGACTTAAAAGTTTTTTAAAAATTATCCTAATCTGTACTAGACAATTTATCAACTTACATGGACGCTATCCTCTCATGTCTTACTGGACATCTCTTCCCTCAACCTCAGTACAAATCTTCTCTCATCTAAGATCCTGGTTCCTCGATTTGAAAATAACATCCCAAACACTTCATCAAATCCTCTAGAGGCAAGTTCTATAAGGCAAATCGAAGTCACAATGATAAAATCAGTCTCACGTAAGGTTTTGTGATTGTTTCTCCATTTCTACGCTTTGCATTCATCAATTCGTGGATAGACGGTCTCTTTTTGATATCTTAAAAGCATGTCATATGTAGCTAACTCAAAACTCTACCAGCGACCTTAGAAGACGGTGAATTTTTTTATTTTTCATCATCATTCAAGCAGTATAATTAAAAACTCAGTAGCCCATTTTGAGTTGCTATAGAAGCTCTGTCCAACATTATTGAAAAAAGGAAATATATTTCATATTCTACCAAATGAGAGCATTTGGATGATGTTGCCGACGATTCAGTATTACCTTCTGCCTATTCCATGCACAAGGCAAGAGGAAATAGTAGATGCTTCAGCGACCGAAATTATAAATAATTCATTCCCACACGCCTTTGTACTTCGCCCAGACAAGAAGAAAAGAAACGCTATAAGCTTTCGAATAACAACAAGAAATCATTTCAAAATCTCCCCAACGAAGGCGCTCGAAGCGCTGCTTATGGCCGTAGAAATCATTTCATATTTTTCCTTACCTTTGAAACCCAGTATGGTGGCCCCGGCAACAAAGGCACCCGCAGCCCCATTGTAGAAATCCCTCTTCATTCGATAGTTCTGCACCAGCTGTTCGACGCCAATGTACACGCCACCGATCGCCGCGAAAGTGAGACCGTGGGCACCCATCAGCTTCACGGTCCTGATCAGGCCTGGAAGCGCCACGCTCCTCTCCACCCGAGGCACATCATACCAGGTCGCGACGACCGTGCCCCAGATGGTGCCGGCGGCGAGCCCCATGGTGGCGCCCTTGATCGTCTTCATCGCCGCCGTGTCCTCATTCTCCAGGTACCGACGCTCCGCCGGATCCATCCTTCCCACACCAAAAAAAACACCTCAAACCATCATCATCAAACTCTAAAAAGACCTAAAATCTGAACGAAAAGAGGGCGGACGTTAGGAATGGAGACCTTCCTATCGTAGGCTAAAGGATGGCGTGAAGAAATGCTTACTGCTCTGAGGAAGAAGACGGCAAGCTTCGATCGATCGCGCGTTGATGGGGAGCGAGGGCAAGTAATGTGAGCCGACTCGAGTAGGACGAAGACCAGTGCAGGACCGTGAAGATGATGGAAGCTGATATCCGTCCGACTGGAATCCGACGGTGAGAAATCTTTCCAGATACCCTTTTACATCCTCTGATCGTGCTCCCTTTCACCCGTGCTGGGCCATGGTTTCGCCTGCTTTCAAAGGCCCAAAAAACAGGCCCATGATCTTATATAATCGTAGTTGATTTTTAATTCTCTTTTAGGGATCATAATATTTCATTTTTATAAAGCATAGTTTTGGTTTATGCAAGATCATAAAATTAAATAAAAATTAAATAAAATAGAATAAAATAGAATAACATAAATAGAATAGAATAGAATAAAATAAAATATACTATCATCTTAGGCTTAGCAGGTATGCTCATAACTTTTACTATAATATAAAAGGATGGGCTGCTCCCTCTTATAATGTGTGAAAATGATTCTCTCTCCGAAGGGTGAGCCATAATTTATGCAACCATAGGAACATCCTTCTAGCCACATTAATTTGGCTTACCTTTGCTCTATATTTTTTGGTCCCCTTTATGGGTAGCAACTCGAGGTCTAATCTCTTCCCAAGAGGTCGCCTGTTGTGTACTACTTTAGCTCACTTAGCTTAAGAGGTGTGCAACATAAGACTTGAACACCCATCTTAATTAAGGGTACGTGACCTGAACCTAACCCCTTCCTAAGAGATCACCCATCCTACTACTGCCCCAAATCGAACACGCTTAACTCTGGAGTTTGTAAGAGATACGAAGACAACACACCCACTAGGGGGGGTTACCTTTTCTTTTTCGATTTGTATCTCTCGGGTTTTTATTTATTTATTTTTCAATTTGAAAAAATTGAAGACATATCAAAAGCTTGAATAATACTATATTTCAATTTCTTGTTTCCAAGCTAATAATTGACCACATCTATTCACTAAGTTGAAAGGTTGCCAGGGTTCAACACCCAATACATTATATATATATATATATATATATATTTCAGTATAATAAAAAATAAAACTTATTTCTCCAGTTCAGGATTAGGGTTTTGAGGCTTTGCTGCATGTGATATAGTGCTCAACAATTATCACAAATTTCTCTAATGCGGTTACCCAAAAAAGGTGGGCCACTCTCTTATAATGTGTGTGAAAACATCTCTCTCCAAAAGGAAGAACAAGGAAGAACAAGGAAGAACAAGGATGATTCTATGCATCATGGAAATATAATCTACCTCTCTTTAATCGCTAAAAAGGGAGGGCTGATCCACTATAAATCCTACTTCTGGTAAATAAGTGATTAAGGAAACTAGGATTTGAGTGATTAAGAATATGAACCAATTATCACTCCCCCTTCTGGTTCTTCTTACAGTCTCCTAGAAACCAATACATCTCTTGTCTGGTTTGAAATGGAGGCTCAAGATTGTGAATAGGACCGTTGGTTGACTATGTGCTCTTCTGGACTATCTCTGTGAATCAGAGAGTCAGCTGAGCTGACTGTGTTTTTCTGAACTATCTCTGTGAATGTGACCGTCAGTTGACTAGGATTTTCTGAACTGTATTTGTGAGTAGGGGGATCAGTTGATTGGGAATTTCTGCCGAATAAGAGCATCAGATGGGTGAGGTTCTTTGAATTCAAGTCCAAAAATAGACACAGGCACAGTCCAGTTCATACGTAATCAGGATGGGGCTGCACTTTTGAAGAGTTCCAGCCTGACGACAGAAGTCTGTTCCCACACGAGCCAAGCCTCTTCAAGGGAAGCCGATCTAGATTGAGGAACAGGGCATGAGTTCATGGGCTTCATACCTTCACCAGACCAGGCCACCCTCCCTGATGCGAAGATTAATGAAGCAGCTTCAGGTCACCAGGCCAGGTGATCTCCTCTGGGCTTCTTGCGAGTGAACAAGCTTTCAGCTGCTTGAAGATAGATGTCTACTTCAGCATCTGAGTCCATGTGGGAAGTTTCTCCAACAGAGGCCCCATATTGGTGAATCTGAGGATGCCCCGCAAAGGGAATACGGCAGAAATCATAGGGAGCATGTGGGTGCGCCAGAAGACTCTGATTCAGTGGTCATCTTCATTCACCCCCGGGCAGTGGGTTTCCAGGGCTTCTGCTGATTCATACTGAAATGAGATGAAGATGTGTTAGAAAATAGTTCCATACTGATAGAAGGGAGGAAGAAAATACTCCTGGAAGTTCCTATGAAGGAATTGGTATCTTGAGACTCAGGAAAAGGGGATATTGATCGTTTACAAGTGGGTATGGTCAAGTCACTGGACTGAAGAGTAGTATTAATTTACTTTTAATTAACTGGGCGCTCGGCGTGTTAAGAAATATAATAACTTGTGTTCAGCTTCTAGAACTCAAAACGACTGACTGGATCCGTATGATCATGCAACCTACCATAAACATGTGATAAGTCGGATCAGATTCAGCCATTCAGAGTGAGATAACTTGCCTTGCATCCACAGTACAGGCAGTAGTGATGTTCGCTTCTTAGCTTCATCAACAAGTTCTGCAAGTCCTGCAAGTGTGATGCTGAAGTGTCAAAAGCGCTTATAATCACTGCCACTGAGACCATGCAATAACAGATCATCACAAGTCAAAGGAGATGGTAAATGGTAATAAAACGGATATTACTCGAAATTTCTTACTTAAACAAGTGTAGGATTAGTGAAATTAGTGTGAGACTTTCTTTCTTCTGTTGTCATGTGTCAAGGCCACACTAGTTTAAATCTCTGGGAAAATAATTATCATGATAAATCTACCGATACCACAATACTATAAGTATTGTGGAGAAGAAAAGAGCAGAAGGAACAAAGCGGAAGAGACAGGAAAGAAAATACAATCATAGAGATCCCATTCCGTTTTCCGCCTTTGGATCAAACCCATTGTTCTTCTTGAATAACAAGACATTGACCTGTGTCTTGCTTGGAAAAAATTGACATGATAACCGAAAAAAGGTTTTCTGGTTATCACCTGAGTTGGTAACTCCGTATAATTTAACTACTTTCTTTCTAAGTTCTCCAAAGCAGTTGTTGTCACTGAGCGTGAACTATCTATCCAACAGAGAATTTGTTTCGAAAAGTACCCAACTGTTTCTTCTGGATTGAATATCAAAAATGGGTCGCCTTCTCGCGTTCCAGAGATCTGGTTTCTTGTTTTGCTTCGTTGACCTTCTCTAGAGACCACCAACGTTCTCAGCTAAAATGGTTTGACTTGAAAAATAACTACCCCCATTTTGCTCGCACCATTGACAAAAGCTCAACTCAGGCAGTAGAAAAGTCATCGTCTCTGGGAAATCCTATCTAAACAGGTGAAAGGACGGAAGGATTCGTAGGTTAAATGTCCCAGTGTTTCTCTCTACATGAAATTTTGACTATAACAATCCGTCATCACAGAGCATCAGACTCCGGATCTTGACTCCATCGATATCCATTATGCAACAGTTTAGAGAATAATGATGAGTTAATCGAGGTTCTCAATCCCATAGAACACACTTGATGTGCTTCTGGGTAACAGTGCTATTATCAACGGGAGGGGCAGGCTCGTACCTCTTCGGTTATATCCTCTTCTTCTTCCTCCTCTTTCTTTGGCTCATCGTCACTGGTTGCCTCAGGTTCGAGGACCTCGTGGTTCCCCAGCTGCGCCAGGGCTGCCTCTGCCTTTTGGTAGTCCCAGACAACCCGGCGGCTCCTCCAATGTGTCTTTTGCCTTGATCCAAAATCCTGCAGCAGGTCCTCCTCCCTTCGCCTCTTCATTTCCGACAGGTCCCTCTCCTTCCTCGCCTTCTCCTCCCACGGGGACAGGGCGCCAATCCCCGCACGGGATCGCCGGATCTCCATGCCCACGGGCTGGGACCTCCCGGATCCGTCCTTTCCCAAGGCCGAGCCAGGATTGTACCCCATCTGCTGGAGCATCTTGAACCCGACATTCGTGGACGGAATAGACGCCTCGAGGCCCGCCAGCGTTCGCTCGTCCTCCTCCCGTTGTTTCCTCTCCCGATCGATCTTCCTCTGCTCCTGCCAGCTGACCCCCTTGGGCCGACTCGACTTCGAGGTCTCAGTAGCCACAGTTCTGGCGACCGAAACCTTCGGGGAAGAAAGAAAAATGAACGAACAACCTCAATCAGCCCCCCTTCGGGAAGAATTCCGCGCGCACGGTGGCCTGAACCAGGGCTACGAAGAACGGCTGGGAATGGAAAAAGAGGGAGAGATTGCTAGGGCACACCTTCTTGGAGGAGGACGAAGAGACCTCCTGAGGGACGAAAAGGGAGAGATCTCCCATGTAATCGTCCTCCTCGCCTCCCTCTTTTCCCGCCATGGCTGCGAGCCCCCGAGATCGTGGCCACGGGGGAGCAAGAGCAGGCCACTGACGAGGACTCTTCATGTGTCCGTTAAGAGGAGCCGGCTCGGCCCGGCCCGACTTTTTTCTCCGCAACATATGCAGGCCAGCCCGGCCCGGTCGGCCCACAAATCCTTTTAATTTCGTTTTTCACGGAAATATTTTAAAGTTCCATTAACTTTATACCCTGATTAATTTTTGAGGAGAACAGATACCGGCTAAATATCTTTCTTTTATCCTATTTCGGACTCAGACACAATTTTGAGAAGAAAAAAGGTGAAAATAAAATATTGCGAAAAGAAAAATCCTAAGCTGAAGAACTCTATGTTACTGCGTCATACATGAGGAAAACTGAGCGGATTCTCTCCACCTAGTGCTGCTTCAAGCGCCGGCACTGGTGCCCAGCAGAGAGTTGACCTCTCCAATTATGTTGACCGGCCTCCCGTCGAACATGGAAGACAACGTCCTCTCACAGAGAGTCTTGAGCTCTCTGGTCCTTGCGAGCGCTGCTTCCTGTTTCGGAGATGGAGACGTCAGAAGGCGAAGCTATCGGAATCAGACTGGTAGAGTAACATTCTTCGTCCTCTAGAACATATGGGCCTGGGAAAATGGGCGACCAAAGGACCTGCATCTTCGGTCTCTCTCTTTCTCTCTCTCTCTCTCTCTCTCTCTCTCTCTCTCTCTCGTGTCCCACCGACTGATGCTCTGAAATGGTCAACTGTTCTTCATGTTTTGCGAGTTCTCAGAGTGCTATGGTTCTCATCTTCAATCCTATTGAATCTCATTATGGTTTCCTAATTAACAGGCTTTCCATTACTAAAGAAGCTAGACTTGAGGTAATGGTTTGGTCAACATTTTGGGATTGAAGCTAGCTTATACTATTTGTGGAGTGTAGTCAACCAAGAGGAAGCAGAAACCCTATAAATGTTGTGAGTCAACTTGCGAACTTACCTGTTTTGGCCAAGATGAAGTCAGCGCATTCTGAAGCTCCATACGCCTAGCAGACAAATCGCTCAAGCTCTGTCTCAGTTTGACCTCGTGATGCTTCTTAGCCTCCAATGTGGATACCAATCTGTCCAGAAATCTGCAGTTCCAAAACGATGCAGGAAGCAGATGTAGAGGTTAGAACAGATGCAGGGGAAGCTTAAATTGCTCTAAATAGAAAAGAAGCTAGAACCTTTTGGAATTGAGGATCATTATCAAGTCCCTAGTCCTCCGCTCTGCAAGCACTGAAATGGCCAAAGACACTCCAGAGAGCATCATCTCAATTGCATCAGAGGTGTATTGCTGCAGCACAAATGGCGCTACGGCCTGTACTTGATGCTGCAAAGAAGAAGTTTCTTCGCTCCTCATCTCCGCTAAACGCTGACTCAGAAAAGATTTTAACTGAAAAGCAAAGGCAGAGGAAGACAGAATTATATATACACAATCACCACAAGGATCTAATTTACCTGTAGAACTGTAATACAGGCAGCATAATGAGAAAAGAGGTTGGCCAGCGTGAAGGTAAAATAGATAGAATACCGTAATTGGTGATTTAATACTAAGGTTTAAATGGCATATATATATGTAAAGCTAAGAAATATATGAAATAATGAATCAAATTTGAAGTCTGAATAGCATATCGTTTTCCCACATAATCTTCATTATTAGCTGAATAAATATGCTGTAGAATTACTTCCAGATGAGTAAGACAGGTAATTGTCACGTGATCTAGATGGAAGTTTAAAATGAATTAATGACATTAATCAGCGTATGAACTAGTAGCTTACCTCAAACAAATCATCCAGAATCTTGTTCCTATATTCTGTATCCAGCAACTGACTTCTTTCTCCCTCCACAACCTGAGGCAGTTCCAACGCAGCTACATCACATAGCTGAGCTTCGGGAAGAACAGCATCTTCTAGAACATCTATTGGGGGATTTTCAATGCTGACATCCCAACATATTTCTGACTCTGAAGTTCCCACGACAAGGCTTTCTTCTGTGTTATTCCCTCTTTCATAATCTTGCAGTTCCCTGCTTGAACTGATTATCTCATAGGAACCAAAGCCGTTTGCTGATTCGTCAGTCTGCCCGTTTGTAACATCCCAGTCGATTTGAGAAGCATCCACAGAAATGTTCCAGTCAATTCCGTCAGTAGTGTCAAGCCCATCTACTTGTGCCCCCTCACCGAGTGAAGAAGAATTCAACTTTGCTGAATCCCTTAGAGAATTGATGACTTCAACTGAGACAGATACATTCAGATTAGGCGGCTTATCATAGAGGCACTTCAGGTTTGTGAGTACTTGACTTGAACTTTTCTGCAACATCAGGTAGAAGAAAAATTAGAGGCAGAGCGACTATCCCAACAAATGGTAGATAATCATAGATATGAGATGACTCTTCAATATGCAGCCATGTAAATAACTAAAAAAAAATGGAAAATCCAGTGATCGCTATGCCTACATCTTTTTCAGTATGTGCATCTCTAACAAAGTTTGAGTAATACTCCATCGCCTGCAACACTGAATGATCACCGAGGGCATCCAGTATCCTGCTAAATGTAGTAGGAAGTGATTTTGCCGTCTCAAGAAGTTCCAATCTTACATTTTCTCCCTGCAAAGGATCAAGGAAAGTTCCAGTTAGAATCTCCTAGCAACTAGTGACATGATCATTGGATCGCAGGATTACATTAAAATAAAGGGAAAATAGACTGTGGAGGCTGGAACTCGAAAATTGAACTAGTCAAATAGCCTTGAATCCAACCTTCAATCCAAGCTCTCGACAAGATTCTGAATATTTAGCTGCGGATAAAGCAGCATTCCTTTTGATCTCCGCCTCTTTTCGTTCAAGTTCAGCCAGTTGTTGCTGAGTCTTCTGTACCAGCTTTTTCTGGTAGGGTCTTCACCATAAGATCTAGATATCATCAGTAAGCAACATCTAAACTAAAAAACACATACTCTTTGTGTGATCTGTAAACTGAGAAGGTTTACATTTCGTAGTTCACGTTCTGAGACATTATTTGAGCAGCCTCTCCAAGAAATATATGATCCTTCTCAAAAGCTCGCACAATGGACTCCCATTCACCCTGAATATCAGAAATTCGATGGTCAAACAAGATTTCAAATCAACAGAATTCTAGATTGACGAATTATGATTCACTAAAAGTTTTCCAAAAATTCAGTACACGAGATATTAACCTACAGCAGACTATAAGCTTAGAGCTGTGATATATTCCTCCCTTTTTTTTTATAAACATTCAATCTACTTTTCCTTCATGGATATTTCTCGCATAACTCTCAGTTCCATGGGTTTCTCCATCTCATGATTTCTAGAAAATGTTTCAACGTTAATATAACCCATCACTTATTCAACAAACAATGATAAAACGTAGAAAGGAACGAGAGGATAGAACATCATGAATCTTACAGCGGAACCTGAAAGCCGTCCAAAAATATTGCGGTTTTCAGTAGTTGAATTCAGAAGAATAGTATATATTTGTTTCGCTTCCACATATCCAATCACTGCATTAAATGATTCAGGACATTAGAGAATGTTCAATTAAAGAAATCTACCAAACGACAATTCATAGCCATTCCGATCCTCCTAAGCTATGATTTGAAAACGCTAAATATCAGTAAAAGCCGATAAAAGGGGATTGTAGGAAGGGTGGGATATAAGATTCTTGAAACTATAAGAATCTACAAGTTAGGAATCCATACTGCACTATAAGGCTAGCTAGTTACAATCATCAATCGTCAAATAAAATATTAGACAGGCTATCACATAGCAAGAACAAAGGGAAAAACCTAAAAGAGAAACCAAAGTAGCAGGATGAAAATAAGGGTTGAGAGGGAAATAAGAGAAGAGGCGAATGAAGGTTGACTAACTATCAAAGAGAGAAGAAAACCAAAGACATCAATATTGAGAGATAGAGAGAGAGAATTTAGCAGCCATTTTCTGCATTCACGTTTATCAAGTCAGTGGCTGCTGACAGTTAAAGAATTCCAGTTATAATAAGAGTGGGCACCCTCTTTACAATATGGATCATCTGGAATGCAACTTTTAAGTACTCTCAAATAAGTCGCTTCTTTAATGGGACTTTGATAATATGATACTTTAACAGTTCATGTGATGTGGATGACCATCAAAACTCTTATCTAAGTGTTTAAACAAATATTAAGGAAAAAAAACCTTTTAAATATGTTCCTCTGCTCAATTTAAGTTGACTTTTTCTAAAAGTCCATAAATAACAGAATGAGGAGCACAAAGAATATGTACATCGATTTTCATTCCTCAACGATTGGTCTACGATTTTCATTAGAGGATTTTCATCAAATGAACTTTCCCTTGTGTTGTAAAACCTTTTGATCATACTCTAGATTTCACAAGGTCAAAAAACACCTCTAAAGGTCGTAATCAGGCTGTTTATATGTACATACGGTTGGCTTCTAGCGCTCAATCCACGAAATCAAGAACAAGATTTTACCAATTGCAGAATCAGAGACTGCTGTCCAAAACCGTGAGCACGAATGGACTCATCGGTGACAAAAACAAGTGATCAGAAAAACAATATATTGTGGAAATCCTAGACCACAAGGAATACCCGTCACTTTGTCATCGTGAACATAAAATTTCGACGACATGATATCATTACATTTCTTCGTGTTAATAAATGCGGTATGAAGAGAGATAAAATCAGATCGCTCATATTTGAAGACTACTTTTGCACATGCTTGCCGACAGTCATGGTACATGCTCATCGAATAAATCCACAAGCTTGAAAACTTTCATAGAACATATTCGTAGAATAAATGCAGATGCTTGCTGAGTTTCACAGTTCCCCTGAGAGTTCAGCAACTCCTACCGGGCCTCTGAAAGTTCTTCCAGACAAAATTGATACTGGGGAACCAAAAAATGAAAATTAAAAGAGTGAAATAAACACTCCCAACTGAATGAATTTCCTTGGACACGAAATTGATGGATTCGACGAATGCCATGATATAATAAAAAAAAGGACAGACGAGCATCGCAATTTCCATTGACGGGTAGTGGTAAAATAGTTAAGAAACGATCACTGACTAAGGAGATCGCACCACCTTCAGGATCCAGTGTTTTGAAGAAGGGATCCAAATCCCTAGGAAGGGACGAGAACGCGGAGGAGATCCGTGATCTGATTGACCCAAGGCGCTTCCTCCAGTCGGACGGGATCCTCCTCCGATCCACAAGCCATTCTGAAGCAAATCAAGAACCAGAAATGAATCCACATTAAGAAAAAAGAGCAGGAACCGGTCGAAACACACCGTTCAGATCATGCGGAAAAAAATAACAAGGCAGGTTCGGAGGCCCACACCTCCTAGACGGGAGAACGCGATGTCTATCGGCAGGCTCCGGATGTCCGCCGGATCATGCATGCTTCCCGGCAGCGACGAGGGGCCTGACGGAGGAGGGCTGGCAGCCGCGCTCGGAGGAGGAACGCGGCGCAAGTCAAGCAGTGGAGAGCTAACGTCAACGGCGACAAATCCAACAACAGACCAACAGAGCGGAGCCCTGCCTTTCTTCCGCGGGCCTACATATTTGACAATAAGCCCCTCGGAACAGTTCCAAGAGTATCTATACCCCTTAAAATTAATTTTTTGAGATTTAGAAAATAAAAAAAGAGCCCGTTAACGAGGTAAATAAATTGGCGCCCTTTCTCATCCTAACCTTCGGCTAACATCCGAAAGCAAGAGTACAAGAGCGGGCAGGCATCTCGCTACAACTTTGGTCAACGAGGGAAGAGCTGATGATGCCCACATCCTTCCCATCTCTACCATGATCCATGGTAAGAACATCCAATGAATTGCGTAGTGTACAAGTGCATACATGCATACATCTGTTGGCAAAGACTTGTCTAACTTGAATCAAATGCTGGCATTTGGATGACTGTACTTGGCTTAGTTGTGCTGTTCGTGAGACAGTTCGAAAGTCAACTTGTTGGAGTTTTAGTAAATGATCACTTATTTGGGACTGTTGGGTTCTAATGGGCTTTTTGGCGAGTTTAAGGACCTAACTCACCGTGTATTGGGATCATAAAAAACCCTATGGTTTTCTTAAACTCAACCTGTCCCAATGAGTGATCATTTACCAAAACTCGAACAAGTTGACTTTTTAACTGCCTCATAATCAGCACAACTAAGTCAACGACAACCATCCAAATGCCAGCATTTGATTCAAGTCAATCCTGTCTTTGCCAATGTACGTATATATGTATGTATGTATGCATGTATGAATGAATGCATCCATGTATGTATGTATGCATGTATCCATGTATGTATGTATGTATATATGCTGCATGCATACATGTATGTATGTATATATATACATGTATTTATGTGTATGTATGTATGTATGTACATGTATACTACCCAGTTCACTGGATGTTCTGGCTCGTACGGTATTTTAAATTATTCTTCTGTTGTATAAGAAAGAGAAATGAGGACAGTCGTCATCCCCAACTCAATCCTCATGGATGCGATTATCTTAGATGGGATACTGCAAAAAGTCAAAGGGTTGCCTACAGAGACACGGCTATCCCGAAGATTACAGATCCATTTTGCGCCGGAGGAAGTCCATCAGGGCTGGGATTGCTATGGATACAAATCGTTACCGCATAGAGGAGATTTACACATAAAATGGTGATATTTTGTTCCCGTCTATAAAGAGAAATGAGACAAAAGTGGAGTACAACCGCAGGGATTTAGAACAAAGTTGACTGTTTTCTCTAAAGAAGAAGCGAAATGTGCGGAAGTACGGCCAAAATATTTTCTGATCTTTTATTCATAGCTTGGAAAGGAAGGTACAAACAAGCCGTGAGGTTTTATTTAGGGCAGTCAGAACCTTCACTTCATATGGAGATGCTGTTCGGAACTCCCATTCCGGTGACCCCGGGTTTGGAGAAGGGTTTCAGAAGCTCATACGGGACGACGCCTGCGCCGCATCTGTTCTTCAAGTTGCGGTCTTGATTTCTCTCGTCGATGATACCTTCTATCTCCGTCAGCGTCCCCCGGAACCTCTCGTAGGCTGCCTTTATGGTCAGGTCGTCGTCCCAGATCTCCGGCGGCAGATCGCCGATGTACTCCTCGTCGACCGAGTGCTCGGAGAGCACGTCCAGCACCGCCATGACACGCGTGGCCTGGATCTGCGTGGGGAAGCTCTCCATCAGCGTCCTCTCCGGTTTCTCCCAAAAGCGCTTGAGGTTGTGCTCGTTGCCGTCCTCCACCGGCATTCTGCTGCGGACGATTGTGGGCCGGTTAGGGAAGTAGCCGGCGTAGTGGTACTGGCCAAAGTTCACGGCGGCGTGGTGCCCGGAGGTCACCCAGATCATGATCGTCAAGATGCCGACAAGGTCCTCCGGCGTGTTCAGGGCCGACCACCAGGGCTCTTTCCTCTTGTCAGCATGGCCCTTGTTGCGGATCTCCTCCCACCACTCCTGGAGCTCCGTGTCGGACTTCACGACGGAGGGGTCTGGATAGTAATGGCCCACGTAATCCTCGACCCACTGCTTGATGGCCGTCCATATGAGCAGGCCGTCGGTGGCGAACGGGTAGTCCTCGATGGTCAATTTGAGCCCGGATGATGCCGTCGGGTCCTCCACCGCCATTCCTCTACAAGAACAAGGGAACCCCCTCCCTTCATCAATCTCAGATCACAAGGACGGGTGGATTTACTGGGTCGGAGGGGGAGGCGGTGGTGACGGGTACCTTTTGATGAGGTCTGCGGGGAGGGCCTGCTCGTCGAACCGCCACAGCTTGTCGTAGGCCACGGAGCTGATCTCCAAGGAGTACCTGCCGGGGGAGAAGCAGGTCTCGATGGTGCCTTCGGCGTTGATGAGGGCCTCCCGGGCGAGGGCGTTGATCTCCATCGTGTACCGGAAGTGGGGGCGGAGTAGCCTGTTTATCGGGTGCATAGCGCTGAGCTGCCTGTTGGTCGCGATGATGTAAGGCTCGGTGCAGGCATGCGTCCTCAACCTTCACAGCATCAATCGATAATCAGCGAAGAAACCTTTCGATCTCCGAGGTTCGGCCATTCTGTCTGATTCGAACGACGCGCAAGATGATCTTTTACCAGTGGATGACGAGCTGGTGGTAGCCGGCGTCGTGAGCGCAGACATGGGCCTTGGCGAGCCTCCACAGCCACGCGCCGGTGGCGTCCGAGGTGTGCGTGAACACCTCCTTCCACTGGGGCGCCGTCGGGGACGCCGGGCGGGTGAGCTCGATGGCGATCGGCGATAGCGTCCCGTCCTTGGTGAGGAAGAAGACGGTGCGGGATCCGTACAGCGTGGTTCCCTCAAGCTGCCTCACCTTGTGGACGTAGGGTAGGAACAGATCGTGGTAGTCTATGATGAAGAGCTTCTTCTTCTCGATGGCCTGTACAAAGGGCGGAGTTGGGCTTCACGCTGCTCCGTTGGCGTTTCTAAATATCCGGGGGAAGGGGGTTATGGTTTTACCTCTTCTACAGTCATGATCCCTTTGATCTCCCTTTCGATGATCTCCTTGGTGATTGCAGACTCCGGAGGCCCATAGATCTGTGGGTCGAGCTTGCTGACGAAGGGGAATTCCTGCGAGACCCGGAAGGTGGTCGTGGCTGTGAGGGATTTTCAGCGTTTCTACCGGTGATTTCTATGGGATATGTTCGTCTGCCTCAAAGAAATCTAGCCCATCTTCTCACCTTGACCAGCTCGATGCTGAAGGGGTTGAGACCAGCGAGGGTTTGCCGAGCGAACTCCTCGTCTCTAAACCAGGAGAACTTGTCCTCTGCCAAGATTGTGGATCAACTGTGATGCGTGAATTTTTAAAAATGAGATGGGAGGAACGGGAGTGGTGGGGAAGGAGATGACTGACTCTCGATCATGGCCGGCGGGTCGAATAGCAGGACATCGTCTTTTCCTTCGCTTATCGCCTTCACCAGACTCGGTAGGGCTGTCTGGAGGAACCCCTTCTTCTCCGCCGGCGGCAGCTCAATGCCGTCGTCGAAGAGGTTGTCTATGGCGGTAATGTGGGGGAAGCCGAGCTTCGGGTCGGTGATGATGTTCTCCAGGGTGGGGATGAGCGCGTGCAGCACCGATCTCACCGTCTTCACGGAGAACGACACCGCCTTCACTTCCGAGAAGGACTCGTCCCTTGGAACGTAGTTATCGCTGGCCCTCTTTTCCGATTGCGGGTCTGTAAAATCCCGTAAGCCGGTGGTTACCCTCAAAAGAACGAACTCGGAGGCAGCGCCGACAGCGCAACATCGACGGCGTTGATTGATGAGAAATCTCAGTACCTTTCTTGGTTCTTGGTCGCCCCGTTCTACATCGCCTTGGGTAAGGATGACGTTGACCGCCCAATACTGGCCTAGCCAAGTCGTCGCTCTTATCCGGGTCTCCCAAGTCGTTGTACGTATCGTAGTCATAGATCCTCTCGAAGATCTTGCGTTCACCCCGCCCATCACCTCGCTGAATGTCGAGCTCCTTCTCCCTCAAAGTAAGGAGCCCGCCTGGGGTTTGTGAAGGCAGGTAGGCCTGCACATCTCAAAATGAATGGTTTCGTCAAAACCCTACGAGTTTTTAGAGAGAGACAAGGCAAATTTTGCATATGAAAAATGAGAATAATATATGGTTGAGCATAGACTATGTTTTTCTCGAAATTAGTCTCTGGAGTGACATTGATGGACAATTCTTCATTCAGATGTCAGTACTCTTAAGGCATAAAGTATGGGCAATCCTAGAGTTTGTTCAATAGCTTCGATTTCATCAAAAAAGTTATAGCTCTCCGACTACATTTCGGACTCTATACGGCGACACTTTGTTGTTATGAACATTATAAAATGGGGAAGAGTACTACTCTTACTCCTATATTCTATGAATTATATGGGGCATATGTAAGAAATGGTAGTATAGTACTTTATTCAATATTACTCAACGTTTACTTTCTAAAATTATAGTTTTCTTACGTGCCGGACCCACCTTGTCGACGAAGAAGATGCGCTTCTCTGGATCCTGAAACTTGGTGTGAACCCAGGAGTTGCAGGACACGACGACCCTGGAGTCACCGTAGCCGGAGAGGACGATCTCATCGAAGAACATCTCCCGGCGGTGCTCATTCGTCACGAGCACGGCCCCAATCTCGCCAAATCCCTTGGGCACCAGGAACGAGCCCTCGTACCTCTGTTTGCCGTCCTTGAGGCTCGATTTGTGCGCGAAGGCCTGGACGGTGCTCTTCTCCAATCCGGTCTCTTCAAAAATCGAGGAAGAACGATCCGTAAGAAAACAATGGAGATTGGATTACCTGAGCATGATCACCATTTAATACTTTCAAGGAATATTGAGAGAGAGAGAGAGAGAGAGAGAGAGAGAGAGAGAGAGAGAGAGAGAGAGAGAGAGGGAGAAGAGAGAGAGAGAAGTTACCAGGATCGAGATCGGCGCTGACCAGCTCGAGGAAGATGGATCTCCCCAGCAAGTCCGTGATATCGTCGAGGCCGCGGGAAATGGCCATGCTGCTTAACACATTGCTGACTTTCGGCCTGACGGTGACGAGGCAGCTGACCTTGATGGCGCCGGGGTCCGGTTTCATGGTCTCTGTTAAGACGTCCCTGACAGAGCAGCTGATCCTGCCCGCCTCCTTCCGGTGGCGCCGCGGCCCCGCCGGCACCCTCCCTGCGAGGACATTAGCCGGCCCGTACCCTGGCACAAGGACCGCGCGATTTCCGAAGAGCGGGCTGCGCGAGGATCCGACGTTTGAGGTGCCGTTGACCTGTGGCTTCAGCATCTTCTTTCAGTTCTGAAGCACACAGAACGAGTAAGCGAGGGAGTGATTGAGTGAAAAAGAGAGAGGTGGGATGAAGAGAGCTTGGAGGTGCAGTGGCAGCTGTCTACGGTAGCACCACCACGGTGACCATGGAGGGGACAGGTAAGAGAGACGGAGTAAGAGAGATGCAGCGATCAAGTTGCCTGATGGGAATCTATGACGAGTCCACCCTTGAAGCAAATACGGGCGTCTCTTGGCTGTTTTATAGCTGGAAGGATCGCTGGCAGTAGAAAAGTGAGCTAATGAGACGTGTGGACCATATAGAAGTAGGTAGGCCTTGGAAAGATATTAACATTATCTTTTCGCATCGGGAAAATTCAAAATATATTTAAATATTAATAGGCGCACATGGGAATTTGTTTCCAGATCCGGAAGGGTGCTGTACCATTATATCGTCTAGAAAGATCCTACTATATCGACCATCTAAATCGGCTTTCTAGTAGACTGTCAAATACGGTTTGTCAGATAATCTCTTGAACTTACGCTGATTGTAGGCGCTGAGAAACCATGCATTATCAGGGAAACGTCTATCCATAAACCTCGTCGGTCTCTATTTGTCTTATTTTAAGTTCAGAGGAACTCTTTTGAGTAAATAAGAACGAGAAAGTGACGCTTAATCCCAAATTTCGCACGTTTAAACTTTTCTCCCATGGAGTTGCCGGGGAATAATTGCCCTCTGTCAGGAGATCTTCTCAGGTACCACATCTCGCTTTCAGGGCGCCCGTCCGTTCCCCGCAATGTGGGTCGCGGGGGTTTTTCTCTGTAACTCTGATTACGGTAACGCCTGGCTTTGTAGTCATCAAAGAGACGTCGCCAATTATATTATTTTGAGAACCCACTAGAACGGAGACGTCATCAATTATGACGTTGGCCCACCTGCGTGAGCCGTGCACACAGTTGGGTATGAGGAGCTCTGCCGAGATGGGTATGAGGGAATTAGTATTCACTGATGCGTACATGACCGTCCGAGCTGACCAACGGTAAAGGCTACTTACAAAAACTCTACAATATTAAAATGTCAAAAGGTCTCTTGATTTCAGTACCGGCTCATCCACGATGCAGCCGCTGAAGAATCTCCCGAAGGGGACAAAGTAGATGGCTGATTGGAGCTTCGGAGTTAACAACAACGAATATTAGGATCATTAACTATACTTGATTGAGAGGTCGAGGGATCTTACTTTTGTCACCGACTCACCGTAAAAATTACTCATCGTCCGATTTGCAGCTTTCCTCTCGACTTGATGTCCAGGGTGGCCACTGACGATTGAAGGTTGCCTTATCGTCCGTTCATCGTTTCTGATGTTTGGCACGTGAGTCTGACTTGGCGGCTCGTCGGTTTCGTAACTTGTCCTGGTATTCCGGCAGGGAGAGATATTTCACGCACGTTGTACGTCTGCCGAGACCCCTGTCGATCATCCCCACATATCGTTTAGCGTCTGGGAAAAAACTGGAAAATACCGCGGAAAATTCCATCCTTTATCAGGAGTGGACGAAGCAAACGAACGTTTATGCGCAACTGTTCGTGCCATCTCCGAGTAGGCAGGCGAAGAGGGAGAAGAGAACCCTATGGACCTCCGCGCAAGATTCTCGTGTCTTAGATGACGACGAGGGAAATTGTCGCATCCGTGACCAAATGAAGAGATTGGCGACCGCATGAACCGATTAAAGTTTAGAGATCCATGATCTCCCTTAACATGCGGACAAGGGAGAGGAGAGAAGCTAAGGTTCAGAATGTGTGTGTGTGTGAGGTTCAGAGGCCCATACCTCCGAGACGGGAGAATTCTATGTCTCTTGGTAGGCTAAAGATGTCCGCCGAATCTTCCATGTTTCCCACTGACAATGAGGGCTCTGACAGAGGAGGATTGGCAGCCGCGTGCGGAGGAGAACCCGGCGCACATCAAGCAGCGGAGAGATAACGTAAACGGTGACGAATCGAACAACAGCTCAACAGACGGTAGCCCAGCCCAGTCTTTCTTCAGCTCATCTACCTATTTGCAATAAGCCTCTCCGAGTAGTACAAAAAGTATATATATACATACCCTTTGAAATTAATTTTATGAGTTTTAGAAAATACAAAAATAGCCCGCTAACGAGGTAAATCAATTGACACCTTTTCTCATCCTAACCTTCGGCTAAACCTCAAGCAAGAGTCCAAGTGTGGGCAGGCATCTCAGCACAACTTTGGTCAACGAGGGAAGAGCTGATGGTGCCCACATCCTTCTCATCTCTAGCATGGTCCATGATAAGAACATCCAATGAACTAGGTAGCGTACAAGTACATACATACTGTTGGAGAATGTATTACGATTCAGGTCGGATAACCTAGATCCAACCCAAACAGTAAGGCCTTTAAATAGGCTGTATCCGTCACACTCGAAACTCTTAAGATCAATTTTCATTTTTGTGTTATGTCTGTCTCTCCTCTCCTCTTTCCCTTTTCTGTCCTTCTCTTCCCTCAAGAATGTGGGAACCACCCTAGAGATGGTGAGGAGCTTTGATCCAGGTCCAAGGAAACCCTAGCAGACCACAAATTCTAACATGGTATCATAGCTGACCAGGTGTTTCCATTCCACTTTGTATTGATCCTTGGCATGTTTTATTGAGCAAAGTCTTGCGATATACTATAATACCTTTGTTTTAGTCTTTTTCGTGATAAACCATCTCCTATTTGCATCTTCTAGTCTTTTATTTGCTGAATTGGTTCCTATAATCCTATTTACACCTTCTCTCATTCGTGGAGAAGGAAGAACTACTTTATACCATCTTGGGAGGAACCAACTGTAGTTATCTAACTCTATCATACCTCTATTAGGCCTTAGCGTGACCTAATCATTGTATAATAAATTAGGTAAATTTAAATTTATAAAACTAAAAAATAGAAAAAATTAAAAATTTTAAAATGTTTTATAATAAATAAATGATAATTTGATAAAAAGTTTTAAAAATAGTATAAAATTTTCAAGTCAATCATAGGGATGCGAGATAATATTTTAGAAATTTTACCAAAGAATATATTTTTCATAATTTTTAGACTAAATGATGAAGATCAAATATATTTAAAAATACACAAGAAAGAGAAATTTAGTTGCAAATGTCTAGATGATTGACATCAATGCCTCGATGAACATGATTCAAATATAAATAAAGTGTCACATATTAATTCTTATATAAATTATTACAAGTAATTTAATTGATTAAACTAAAATATGTAAAAGACAAGAATCCTAATTGAATGGAGAAAATTTTCAAAACTTGAAATCACATAAAATCTCACTAATTTAAGTTAAATTTATTTATAATTTAAGTTATATTTAAATTAATAAATATATAATTTCAATTTGTGGTAGTGATTGTTAGAATTTTATGTGTTCGAGAAGATTATTGTGTGATGTCCACAACCTCAATAGCTCTCTTTGGACATAAATAATGTGGAAAATCTCTAAATTTTTTTATTAAATTTAGAAATCAATAAAATAAGTTGATGAATCATTTATGACAATTAGATGGAGGTAGAGTGTCTTAGGGAGTTTCATCTTTAGGTCTATAGAGTAAAAGGAAGCTCTTCATCATATTTAATACACTTTGAAGAGGTAGTAACTCATTTCTCGGTAGATTGCTCTCTTCTCGACAATATCTTATTCGTCAATCAATCACAAATCATTTTTTCGATGTACTGATCTTTTTATCTATAATAATTTGATAGTTGATAACTATTCTCTATGAGTTACGTTGATGACATTTTTATTAATGATTGAGTGCTTCTAATGGCTTAATCATTGATTGGTCATATAAGAAAATTATAATTTAATTAGATAAAAAATATAAATTTTGGCTATGGTGAGATTCAAATTATTATCGGTTGTCCACTTATCTGAGATAAAGTTAAATACATATGTAAATACCCTTGCCAAATGACATCATAAGGGTTCATCATTCTTATCATTCTTATCATTCAATGGCCTTTTAGGTATATAAAAAGAAGTAAAAAACTTATTAGTGACCAATGACTGAATATTTTCTATCATTGTAAAGAAAATTCAATAAATTAACAATTTCTAAATGCTGTAAAATAAACCAATTTGGAATAATTTGAATTTATAGGGGTTTTTCAAGTCAAACACAAGGAAGATAAAAAATTAGTTAGTTATATTTATAATTTCGAATTGATGGATTAATTTTTATAATTTTAATGATACAAATTAATAAATACAATTTTAAAATAATAAATTATAGATTATGATACTAGCTTGCGAAGAATATTCAAAGTAAATTTTGATTCCAAAAGAGAAATTGTTCATAAAATAATGTAGAACTGAATATAACTTTTTATAAATTGAAAATAAAGTAAAAACACATGCAAAGATTCAAGTTTTATAGAAGCATGGGTGGAAAAATCATTGATTGAATTTTCTCCTGAATTCAATTGATTTGTGTAAGTGCACTGGATTGAATGAGTTTCTACACAATTTCTAGTTGATGAATGACGATTCCAACAACTATCACTAGCTAAAACCGATTAACGGTATTGGTTCAACTTCGAGTGTGCTGCAGTATATAGAGAGGATCTTCATAAGAAATTCTTTGTCGTTTGTATCAAGTAAAGAATGAGATGGGTTTGTAGATGAAGTTCAATTTTTGTAGCGACTAAATGAGAGAGAAATCGAGATGAAATCTATTGTTTGTATCAAATGGATGATTTTTAGGTGAACTCGAAGTTTGTCATTACTAGAGGAGAGAGAAAATAGTTGTGGAGAATGATAGATTGATCAAAGATTCCCCATTCTTCCTCATCATTTTTGCATCTTCATGTGTATTAATTCCATCAATTTTGTTGAATACTCCATTGTACTTTTCACCATATTTGTTATATCCATCGTTGATGTGGAAAACCTAAAATAAGAAATTAGTCTCGTATTTTAATTTAATTTTACTATATTATTATTTATCATATTGAGTTCAAAACAATTTAGGAAAATATAGGGAAATTTCAGAAATAAATTGAATTATCATAGAAGCACTTTGATAATATTAGTAATCATTAATATAACTATCAAAACATTTCATGGTCAATTTCATCATGTAGTTTTTAAAAATCAATAGTATAATCAGATAAATAAAATTAATATCATTTTTTCTAGATTGAAGTAATTTATAAATATTTATGTAAAATAATAAAATAAAATATAAAATATTAAGTATTTTATTATGTAATCAATGAGAGTTATCAACCAATAACATAGGTTTAGTCCCCACATTAGTTGTTTTTTGGTTTTGAGAGACAATAATGTAAGTTGACGGTGAGACATACAATTCATTCACAAACACCCCCATATGTGGTAAACTTTGTGGCAGACACAAACCCCTTTGGTATGGAGTGAATCCACTCGATCAAAACTATTTTGTGTTGCTGGAGGGATGACTAAGGCTAGACAACACCGACCTTATTGGTGACATCATGCATCCACTATTTAATGGTGTAAAAAATAAGAATCCAAGAATAAACTTTCATTTCAAGCAGTTGTCCAAAATACATAAAATTGGAATCTTCAGTGACAAATAAAGCAAGGATACAAGGGTGTGATTGCCCAACAGAAAATGACAAACACCAACAATGATTTAGTCAGGCCCATATTTTTCATAACTTCATTTAAAATAATAACTTATCATTTTTAAATATTTTGAAAACTCTTCTCCTAAAATCTGCAACAAACACCATATGTGATGATCATGACTTCTCTTGGAATTCTTCTAAAACATAGATTGTTGAATGAGTTAAATACTTGAATATCCTGATTAAGAATCAGGGTTGATAATGTGATACGCTAGTGATAGGGGAGGCTTGGGCCTCAAAATAAGACAAAATATAAAATGGCCTCACTCTTCCACAAGTATAATTTAAAAGCCAAAGATATCCTGATTGCTCATCATTGTGTGCTTGTGTGTGGGTTTATTGAGGGTTCTTAAACCCTAACGTCCATGATTCTATCCTAGTGTTTCTTACTATGTTTTCATGTGTGTATATGTGTAAGGAAGACAATCATTGAGCCATACACCAAAGAAATCTAGAAAAATGAGTATGACGGGCCACCTTCCATCTATCTAATCTATATAAAAATATATAAATACACATCCACATCACGTTTGGATCCTCCATCCAAATCTTATAAATATTTACGTATCCTCCGGATTAACCTGCATGGATATTTATATACATGTCTGTATTATCTTATGAAAGTAACGTTATACGAATCCATTCTGACCAACTGGGAACGTCCACATGTCGAGTGAGGTTACGGGTCTTGAACTAGTACGGGGACCATGCCACCAATCTCCACGTGATCGCCCATGCGATATCCCCCTTGTGGTCATCTTAGACAAGAGAACCCTACGAGGAGGCCAATTCGCATCTCTCTTCTCCCTTTTCTCTTGCCTGATCGGCGATGGCTCGAGCACGTGTACATTAAAATGAAGGAAAATTCCACCCTGAAGAAGGATGGAATTTTCCTTCATTTTCCACGTTCGAAATCTACCGTAAGACTTACGTAACTAGAGAAGTCACGGAGACAACGAGCCACCAAGTAAGACTTGCCTGCCAAATGTTTGAAACGATAGAGAGACAATCAAGCAAGCCTCCGTCGTCGGTGGCCACCGAGGAGATCAGGTCAAACGTCAAAAATGGCCGAGAGGAGAGCTTGAAGTCGTACGATGGGTAGTTTTCAGGGTGAATCTGTGTCGAAAGTAAGATCCCTAGGCCTCTGAAGTATAGTTGATGATCCTAGTATTCTCTGTAACTGACTCTGAAACTCCAATCAGCCATCTGGCGCATCTCCTTCAGGAAATTCTTCCGTGGATGCATGACGGAACTGGCTTAAAACCCATGGTTGAAGGTTCGATATTGAAATCAAGAGCTTTTTTGAGGTCTCAATCTAGTAGAGTTTATGGTAAGAATCTCCACCGTCGGTCAACTCGGATGGTCATATACGCCATCAATGAAAATTAATTCTCTCATACCCGACTCGATAGAGCTCATCCTGAAATCCAGATCCCTCCCCCCCAATCTCTCTCTCTCTCTCTCTCTCTCTCTCTCTCTCTCTCTCTCTCTCTCTCTCTCTCTCGCTGTAACCACCCAACCACCCCCCCACCCCTTCTTCACGTAGAGATGCTTCCACGGACCACTGAAGAAGGGGTGGGGGGGACGATACGAATTTATAACCGTAGTTCCACGTACGTGATGCGGACTCAGTTTGTCTGGACGTCCCAGTTTTCCTATTTCAAAGAGGCCAAAAATGTACAACCCGTTCTGAGAGAAAATATCCCCTCGCGGTAAGGAAAGACCGCCCTTTGCCGATCCCCAGTACTGAGACTGGAGATCAATGTTCGATTATAAATTCGTATCGCCTCCACCCTTGAGGTTTACGGAAATAATATCTGCGGCAAGGTCTCTTTGATGACTACTAGCCAGGCGATATCGTAACAAGAGTTACAGAGGAAGACCACCGCCCATCAACATGGCGGGGAACGGACAGGGGCCCTAATAAGGAGATGGGACCGAGAAGCTTATCCAACGGAGGGCAAGTCTCCGTCGGGCGACGCGCGGGAGGGTGACGGATGCCCACAAACAGGAAGAGAAAACAAGCATGTATAACCAAAATATCCTGTAAAAAATGGGTCTCTGCGAACAGAGACCCCTTCAGAACATACAGGGCAGTCAACCGAGAACGGTGGGTAGGAACGGAAGGAGAATACAGAGGGGGAATGGACGGGAAGACAAGGATACAAAAGGGGGACTCGTGTGTCCCCTGGTAGAGCCGATTCGAGATGGCCAATCTTCATAATCGGCCTTCATCCTCTCCTACTGAGCCGGCCATTATGTCCCTGCTCAATGGCCCGCTCCGCCCTGTGCCTTACCCCCCTGCTCCCGTCTGGACGATCCAATCCTGTGGGGCCCTGGGCCTCCTTGGGACCGCTGTAAGTGTCCAGGCCCGACCTCCACGGCCTCTCTTTTACACGGTAGTCGTGAATCAGGGACCTTTTTTCACGTGGACAGAGCCCTGATATTAAGGTCTCAACGAGGGCCACGTGTAAGAATGTGAATAAAGTGTTGCACTATCCCTCTTATTTTAAAAATAAATAAATTAATCTCTACCTAAAATTAGAAAAATTAGAGACTGAAGAGGTTTATGGATCGACGTTTCCCTGATGATTCATGGTTTCTCAGCTCCTGCAAAATCAGCATAAGTAGCATTGACTATCTGACAATTATATTTGTCAGCCTATTAAAAAGCCGAGGTAGATGGCAGATATAGTATGAAATTTCTAGACGATAACTAGTTAGATACTAGCTCTTTTGGATTTGCATACATTCCCATCTTCGTATATTATTATTTAAATTTATTTTATATTTTCCCGAAGCCGGCGTAGATAATAGCTATGCGTTCCACACACGTCTCCTCATTCGTTGACTTATCTCCGGCCAGAGATCTTGCCAGCTATTAAACAACGAAGAGATGTCCGTATTTGCTTCAAGGATACCCGTCTAGATTGCCATCAGGCTGCGATCCCCGCATCCCCTCTCACTCCGTCTCTCTCATCTCTCCCCTCCGTCCCCCGACTCCGGCCCACGCGAAGGTGCAGCGGAGTGTGCTATTTATTGCACCTCAGCTCTCTTCGTCCCTCTTCTCTCGCTCTCTCTGTGCTTCAGAACTGAATGATGATGCTGAGGCCACAGGTCCACAGCACCCCTAACGTCGGGTCCTCCCACAGCCAGCTCTTCGGATATCGCGCGGTCCTTGTTCCGGGGTACGGGAAGGCTAATGTCCTCGCAGGGAGGGTGCTAGGGAGGCCGTGGCGCGGCCGGAAGAAAGCGGGCAGGATCAGCTGCTCCGCCGAGGACGTCTTAACAGAGACCACAAAACCGGACCACGGCCCCGTCAAGGTCAAGTGCGTCCTCACCGTCAAGCCGACAGTCGGCGGTGTGTTAAGCAACTTCGGCATCTCCCGCGGCCTCGATGAAATCACGGACTTGCTGGGAAGGTCTATCTTCCTCGACCTGGTCAGCACCGATCTCGATCCTGGTAACTCCTCTCTCTCTCTCTCTCTCTCTCTCTCTCTCTCTCTCTCTCTCTCTCTCTCGCTATCTATCTATATATATATATATATATAACTATCTATCTATCTATCTATCTATCTATCTATCTATCTGTCTGTCTACCTATCGATCTACAGATCGTGCAACTGCAGATTTTGACTTGCTGGCAATCCGTCCTTTGAGAATACCTCCGATATTACTACAGAGTATTAAATGGTGATCATCCTCACGTAATCAAATATCCATAGTTTTCTTACGGATTATTCTTCCCGATTTTTGAAGAGACCGGATTGGAGAAGAGCACCGTCCAGGCCTTCGTGCACAAATCGAGCCTCGAGGACGGCAAACAGAGGTACGAGGGCGAGTTCTTGGTGCCCAAGGGGTTTGGCGAGATCGGGGCCGTCCTTGTGACGAATGAGCACCACCAGGAGATGTTCTTCGATGAGATCGTCCTCTCCGGCTACGGCGATTCCAAGGTCGTCGTGTCCTGCAATTCCTGGGTTCACACCAAGTTTGAAAATCCAGAGAAGCGTATTTTCTTCGTAGACAAGGTGGGTCCGGCATGTAAGAATCAAGTTTTTTTAATTAAACGTCTAAAAAACATTGACTGAAATACTCTATGAACATTTATTACATTTGGTCTTTATGATTTATAGAACATTGGCCATAGCGGATTCATTTCTCCTCATTTGATAGCGTTCATAACAACAAAGAGTCGCCGTACATGGTCCGAAAAGTAGTAGAAAAGCTAAAGAAAATTAGATGAACCGAAGCTACTAAACAAAATTCAGTGCGGCCTATGCTTTATGGTCTGACTACTGCCATCTGAATGAAGATTGTCCATCAATGTCGTCCAGAGACTAATTTTGAGAACAGCGGACTCTAAGCCAAACCATGTATAATTCCCATTTTCCAATGCAAAATTTGCCTTCTCTCCCTGTAAAAGCTTATCGGGTTTTGACAAGACCAACGCACTCATGGAAAGTAAATGTATCCACACAGCCAACCATTTTGACATATGCAGGCCTACCTGCCTTCACAAACGCCAGGCGGGCTCCATACGTTGCGGGAGAAGGAGCTCGACATTCAGCGAGGTGATGGGCGGGGTGAACGCAAGACCTTCGAGAGGATCTATGACTATGATACGTACAACGACTTGGGAGACCCGGATAACAGCGACGACTTGGCTAGGCCAGTATTGGGCGGTCAACGTCATCCTTACCCAAGGCGATGTAGAACGGGGCGACCAAGAACCAAGAAAGGTACTGAGATTTCTCATCAGTCAACGCCGTCGATGTTGCGCTGTCGGCGCTGCCTCCGAGTTCGTTCTTTTGAGGGTAACCACCGGCTTACGGGATTTTACAGACCCGCAATCGGAAAAGAGGGCCAGCGATAACTACGTTCCGAGGGACGAGTCCTTCTCGGAAGTGAAGGCGGTGACGTTCTCCGTGAAGACGGTGAGATCGGTGCTGCACGCGCTCATTCCCACCCTGGAGAACATTATCACCGACCCGAAGCTCGGCTTCCCCCACTTTACCGCCATAGACAACCTCTTCGACGACGGCATTGAGCTGCCGCCGGCGGAGAAGAAGGGGTTCCTCCAGACAGCCCTACCGAGTCTGGTGAAGGCGATAAGCGAAGGAAAAGACGATGTCCTGCTATTCGACCCGCCGGCCATGATCGAGAGTCAGTCATCTCCTTCCCCACCACTCCCGTTCCTCCCATCTCATTTTTAAAAATTCACGCATCACAGTTGATCCACAATCTTGGCAGAGGACAAGTTCTCCTGGTTTAGAGACGAGGAGTTCGCTCGGCAAACCCTCGCTGGTCTCAACCCCTTCAGCATCGAGCTGGTCAAGGTGAGAAGATGGGCTAGATTTCTTTGAGGCAGACAAACATATCCCATAGAAATCACCGGTAGAAACGCTGAAAATCCCTCACAGCCACGACCACCTTCCGGGTCTCGCAGGAATTCCCCTTCGTCAGCAAGCTCGACCCACAGATCTATGGGCCTCCGGAGTCTGCAATCACCAAGGAGATCATCGAAAGGGAGATCAAAGGGATCATGACTGTAGAAGAGGTAAAACCATAACCCCCTTCCCCCGGATATTTAGAAACGCCAACGGAGCAGCGTAAAGCCCAACTCCGCCCTTTGTACAGGCCATCGAGAAGAAGAAGCTCTTCATCATAGACTACCACGATCTGTTCCTACCCTACGTCCACAAGGTGAGGCAGCTTGAGGGAACCACGCTGTACGGATCCCGCACCGTCTTCTTCCTCACCGAGGACGGGACGCTATCGCCGATCGCCATCGAGCTCACCCGCCCGGCGTCCCCGACGGCGCCCCAGTGGAAGGAGGTGTTCACGTACACCTCGGACGCCACCGGCGCGTGGCTGTGGAGGCTCGCCAAGGCCCATGTCTGCGCTCACGACGCCGGCTACCACCAGCTCGTCATCCACTGGTAAAAGATCATCTTGCGCGTCGTTCGAATCAGACAGAATGGCCGAACCTCGGAGATCGAAAGGTTTCTTCGCTGATTATCGATTGATGCTGTGAAGGTTGAGGACGCATGCCTGCACCGAGCCTTACATCATCGCGACCAACAGGCAGCTCAGCGCTATGCACCCGATAAACAGGCTACTCCGCCCCCACTTCCGGTACACGATGGAGATCAACGCCCTCGCCCGGGAGGCCCTCATCAACGCCGAAGGCACCATCGAGACCTGCTTCTCCCCCGGCAAATACTCCATGGAGATCAGCTCCGTGGCCTACGACAAGCTGTGGCGGTTCGACGAGCAGGCCCTCCCCGCAGACCTCATCAAAAGGTACCCGTCACCACCGCCTCCTACTCCGACCCAGTAAATCCGCCCGTCCTTGTGATCTGAGATTGACGAGCGGGGGGGGGGGTTGGTTCCTTGTTCTTGTAGAGGAATGGCGGTGGAGGACCCGACGGCGTTTTTTGGCCTGAGATTGACCATCGAGGACTACCCGTTCGCCGCCGACGGCCTGCTCATATGGACGGCCATCAAGCAGTGGGTCCAGGACTACGTGGGCCATTACTATGCAGGCCCCTCCGTCGTGACGTCCGACACGGAGCTCCAGAAGTGGTGGGAGGAGATCCGCAACAAGGGCCATGCTGACAAGAGGAAAGAGCCCTGGTGGCCGGCCCTGAACACGCCGGAGGACCTTGTCGGCATCTTGACGACCATGATCTGGGTGGCCTCCGGGCACCACGCTGCCGTGAACTTTGGCCAGTATCACTACGCTGGCTACTTCCCTAACCGACCCACAATCGTCCGCAGCAGAATGCCGGTGGAGGACGGGAACGAGCGCGACCTCAAGCGGTTCTGGGAGAAACCGGAGAGGACGCTGATGGAGAACTTCCCCACGCAGATCCAGGCCACGCGTGTCATGGCGGTGCTGGACGTGCTCTCCGCGCACTCGATCGACGAGGAGTACATCGGCGACCTGCCGTCGGCGATCTGGGACGACGACCTGACCATAAAGGCAGCCTACGAGAGGTTCCGGGGGACGCTGACGGAGATAGAAGGTATCATCGACGAGAGAAATCAAGACCGCAACTTGAAGAACAGATGCGGCGCAGGCGTCGTCCCGTATGAGCTTCTGAAACCCTTCTCCAAACCCGGGGTCACCGGAATGGGAGTTCCGAACAGCATCTCCATATGAATTGACGCCTCTGATTGCCCTAAATAAAACTTCACGGATTTTTTGAATCCCCCTTTCGAAGCCTCGAATAAAAGATCAGAAAACATTTTGGCCCTATTTTCCGCTCATTCCACTTCTTGGGGTGAAGGACTCAACTTTTCCTCTATCTCTGGGGTCATGCTTCATTCGTTTCTTATTTCCGTAAAAAGAGGGGAGTTTAGGTCCAGAACTGGCTAAACTAAACATTTTATGTGGTACTCTTCTTCGTTGGCCGGCACTTTTTATACATATCATTCCTAACCCTGAGGGACCTCCCACGATGGATTATGAACCAGCAACCATGGAGACAACTGCTCTTTGTAATCACCCTTTGACTTTTGTGGTATCTAATCTGACACTATGCCATCCATGTGGGTTGTGCTGGGGATGACGAGTGCCCTCGTTTCCCCTTCTTGCTCAGTGGAACTCTGATGCAAAATACTACACTACGAGAAAGAGAGTTATGGGGAGAGAGAGAGAGAGAGAGAGAGAGAGAGATGAGAATAGAAAGCACAACATATTTCCGAGGATTGGAGAAACCTCTTGTCTAAGGTTGTACACAAATCTTGCTTAAAAGAATCATCACTTACATCTCTTGATAGAAACCCTCCATGCTCAGACAATACACATTCGAGCCCTAAAACAGAGATGACGGTGCTCACTCCTCTTAGCACACGATTTGGGAAAGAATAACAAAGAATTAAGGACATTCCCCTGAAATCAAACTTCGCTCCGGAGGGTGCTGCCCCCTGGACCGCATTGCCAACTCACCATTAGAGCCTGGTAAGCGGTGCGTTGGATCTGCATACTCGCCGAAGAGCCCATTAAAATCCAATAGGACCCAATATGAAATCATTAACGAAAACTTCAACAAGCTGACTTTTAAACTCTGCGCATAAACAGAACAACTAACCAAAAGGAGTCAATTTATTTACATTGTTAGCACCCTCTTTCTGTATTTTTAAGTCTCATAAAAATAATTTTAAAAGGTATAGATACTTAAAGAACTGCTCGGAAGGGTTCATTGTCAAATAGGTAGATGCACAAAAGAAGGGCCAGGCTCCGCTCCACTGAGCGCCCGGCTGCCAGCCCCCGTCATCGGTGGGAGGCGTGCAAGATCCAGCGGACATCCAGAGCTTGCCGATAGACATCATGCTCTCCTATCTCGTAGGTGTGCGCCCCCAAACTACCATGTTAGCTCTTGCCACATAATCTGGGTAGGAATAATATACCCAAAAGAGATAATAAAATGCAGCAAATATGATGGGGAAAGAGTTGGAATAAATAAGGAAGAGGAGGACGTTGGTGGAAAGTCGTGAGCCTTAAAAGAGGAGAGACAATAATGTTTTATGATCTATTTTCGGTAAAGACAAAAAAACTTTAGGGGACGAGAGAGAGAGAGAGAAAGGGCGGGGGGGGAGAAGAAGGATATAATATGAAAATAGTATTTAAAATGTATATATTTACTTTAGCAGGAAAGGTAACTTTTTAGTTGTCATCTTCAATGTTGTGGCAACAACCTTCAAGACTCCACCTCAATGCAAAAATATTGATATCAAGGAATTTACAAAAAATGATAAAATTGGGATAGCTTAAGGCCCTTGTAAATCCATTTGTAACTTGATCCTTTGTTGAGCAAAACTTCACCTTGATTAAACTTTTAACAAATTTATCTCCAATAAAATGATGAATAATTTCGATATATTTCATCTTTTCATTAAATATTAGATCCTAGTCATCGATGTAGTTGACTTACTGCCAAAATAGATTTCTATTAAACTTTAATATGGAAAATTCATATCTTTTATGATTCTTCTCACTCATATAACTTGTTGTGCAATAGATGATGCATTAATATTTAGCTTCAAATTATTATAGTTTTATCATTTTATATTTATTTGAACTCCAAATTATGCTGCCCAAGCTAAAGTTGAAAATAAATCCTCTAGTACTCTTCATGTCATCTATAGATCATGTCCAATCACTATTAATAAAACTAGTTTACCTAAAGTGAGATACTTATTTTGTAGAATCCCATAATTACCTTTACCAACACAATGAAGAATTCTCTTCACTGCTCCAAGATGATGTGCTGTAAGACAATGCATAAATCTTCAAACCATACTAACTGAAAATATATTTCTGGTCTATTTTGAGTTAAATATATTGGATCACTAATCAAACTTCTAGAACAACCTTCATCCACTTTTATAGTATCATCATTAATACATAATTTGTCTTTTGTATTTATTAGGGTGGAGTGTGATTTTCAATTCAGTATTTAAATTTCTTGAGCAGATCTAAAGTGTACTTCTATAGAAAAATATTTTTTTCATAATCATGTTGAATAATCTAACACCTAAGAAAAAAATGAGCTAAATTTAAATCAACTAGATCAAATTTTACCTTCATAGAAGTATTGAATGCATATCTCAATTTAGAAGATGATCTAATAACGAAGTTGATTAGAAGATTTAAATTGATGTTCAAAGCAAAAAAGAAAATAAAATAGCAAATAAATGTAAATACGAACTTAAATATTAAATGAATTAAAATTAGTAAACTAAATATGCTTTGAAATGATAAAAATAGAAGAGAAGCAAGTAAATAAATGTTGAAACCTAAGAAAATAAGATTATTTCACAGATCAAACAAGAAAATAATGAAAACTCTATTAAAATCAAACTTACTCTGATCCGTGGTTTGATGAAGACCATTGGATCCTCGTGCCATCATTTTGCTCTGAAGAGGGGTGACGTCGCCCAATAATCGCCATTAGATCTCCATCGGCTCTCGCTCCTTTTGGGCATGCTTTATCGGGATCCGTGTGCGTCGCATGCCACGATAGCCACCATTGGATTGGCAGCTACCTTTCGTGCATTGATGGCTGCGACATGGCCTCTCCAGATCTGCTAGCGGTCGCCGTCGGATCCTGGAGCAACTTTTTCATATGACGGTGACGGTCATGTGACTTCATGCGGTGCGTCGAATCTGACTGTTGTTATCGCGCTACCGTCAGATCTGAAAAGAATAACAAGATAAAGTCAATTCCATATCGAAAATATTATGCGAGTGTCATCATATATAAGAATGACGTCATCAAATTATATTTATTTTAATGCCTAAAATTTTCGAAAATATTGCATAAAATATATTTTAATTAACCATGAAAAATTAGCACAATAATATTTTATTTAAAAATAAATAAATGAGAATTAAGCCTCAAGATATGAAATTTTCATCAATTTTCATTTTATTCATAAACTATCAATTTAAATTAAGATTTAGAGAGGTTCATTTAAGTAGAAAATAAAATAATTAACATGATAATTTGTGAAATATTTCTCAAATATGCATTATTCTCCTTGATTTGATGATAGACTAGTATATAGTTTTCACAAGTTATCACTAACATCTTATGATTCAATCATCTTTGGGCTTTTCTAGAGGGTTTGACATTTTCTTCAATAAAAATTTTATGCATACACGTGTCTACACTATTACCTTTGATGTCTACAAGAGACCAGCTGAAAGGTATTCATTAATTGTTCGTCTTGTGCTGATGTTAATGATGATATAAAATGTTATTTTTACCAAGTAATGTATATTTGAGAATAGATGGCAATGTTTTTTATTCAAGCTGTTGGTCATAAGTATGCATCATAGTATCGTGAATTTCAAAATTATCATGCAGCTCATTAGAGATATTTGAAGCTTGTAAAAAATCATCGTCACCTTAATTCATCATATGCATCCACAAAGTAATAGTTAGCTAATTTTTCAAGATATTTCAGTATCTTAGAAATATTTATTTCATTTTTTCTGGACCAAATTTTAACTCTAATTTCTCTTTTCCTCAATCTGTTTTGACTTTGGCTATTGCTAAGAAGGGTCTACCAAGAATTATATGAGCATGATTAATGTTTTCAATCGTCTTCATATCAGCAAAAATAAAATCCACTAAAAAAATAATAGCTTTCAATTTTAACTATGACATCTTCTAATAGTTCATAAGGCTATCTAATCCACCCATCAGCTAGCTATAATTCTACAAAAATAGGTTGTAGCTCAACCATATTAAATTTATTATGTATAATTTTGGGGCGAATATTAACACTTGCACCTAAATCAAGCAATGAACAAGTGAAAACCATACCTCATATTTCACATTTAATCAAAGGTGCTCTTGAATCCCTATGTTTTTAGGAATAGGATTGAGTAATATGAAACTAATAGTTTCAGATAATTGAATTCATTTCTAATTTCGTACTAGGTGTACATAATCCTTTCAAAAGTTTAGCATAGGATAGTATGTGTTCTAATTTCATACTAGGTGTACATAATCCTTGCTTGAAAAATTCTAACAAATGCTCACAGATTGATTAAGTTTTGTTTTTGATATTTTTAGAGCATAAGAAAAAGGGATAGGTGGTTTAAATTCTTTGGGATTGAGTTCATCCTTTGTTGCTTCTACTTTTTCTTATGCCAGATTTTTCTTCTAATTTGAGTTCAACTTTTATTTCTTCACTCAATTCATATAGGTCAAGCAAATTCTTTCCATTCCAAAGTCTTGATATAACATGCAATATTTCTAATTCTAATTCTTTATTATTTACTTCATGAACATAATGTTTATTTACAAAAAAAATATAAATTTTGAGGACTTATAATAGATTGAGTAAGAAATTGACCTACTTCACAATCACTTGACCCTACCTCAACCATTTTACCTTTTTATTTATTAGGTGTTGTATAGTTTGCTATGATCACCCTCCCATTAGCATCTTCATTGTTTTTATTTCTGTCCTCAGTTCTTATATTTGTTCTCTTTGCTCTTGCAACATCTGCTTCAACAATTTATTAGTAGCTAAGGCAGCTTCATTTTGAACATCATCTGTTGCTTAAGTGGACTGAGAATTATGTGGGCATAAAATTGGCTGGAAGGGAGCTTGTTTTCAAAAAAATTGAGATGTTTGAGGAGGAAATGAAGGTTAATACATATAAGCATTCCCTCTTTTATAATTATGGTTATTGTAATTGTTATAATGTGCTGTGTAGGTAGGAGGTTGAGGTGTCCTTTCTAGCCATGAGTTTTCAGCAATGAGTTAAGGGGGGTTAACACTATCATTCATAACCATCAACCCTTTATATCTAGGACACTCTATTTCGACATTTTCATAACTAGAACAAAGGGCACATGTGGCCATATCTTAGTCATATATGGGCTGTTCAAAAACTTGAGTAGGGGCTGTTGATGGTCTGTTCATCAAAATTTTAACATCTTTAGTTAATTTATCAAACTTTTCTAAGAACATTTCAGATTCAATAGCTTTTGTTTCAGTCAATCCACATCTTCTAGGCCCTATTTGTCTTCTATTTTGATTTAATATTTATTTTCAGCCAACATTTCAATTAAATATAAGGCTTCATCATCAAATGTATTCATAAATGTCCCACCACTAGCACCATCAATCAAGCACTTATCTTTATCTCCTAATCCTTCGTAAAATATTTGAAGTAGTTGCCAATTTTGAATCCCATGGTGAGGGCATTATCTAGTATATTCTTTCATTCTCTCCCAAGCTTTATAAAATGATTTATGTGGTTCTTGATTAAAATCTCTTATCGCCTTCTTCACGGCATTAATTCTCCCTATCTAATTTTTTTTTTTTAAGAAAGTGATTTTCATTTCACCCCATGAATTTAAGTCTTGGGCTAGGATTCTAAATGACTCTTTTGCTTTATCTTTAAGGGTAAAAGGAAATAGTCTCATTTTGATCACTTCTAATGGGACATTGGAATAATAAGAAATCTCACATACTTGTGAAAATCTTCTAAATGTTTGTATGATTCTTTATGACTCATTTCATGAAAATTGTGCAACATTTGCACAATATGATGATCCACTCTAAAATTCACCCCCTCACCTATAGGTGCATTCACTCTAGTTAGTAGGCAATATTGGAGAGGGATAGAATGGTATTTCAGCCTCATTCTCTCATTGTTTGGGTTTTGTTGGGCCATTTGGTTTTCTTCTAGTGTAGGATTGTCTAAAGTGTTTGAGCTAAATGTTTTGGTTTGATTTTGTTTAGGGGTCACTAAATGATTTTTTAGGATCTATGACCTTGCATAGAATATGGTTAAATGAGTATTGACAAAGGGAAAAGAAAAATATAAGAAACAATAATTGTGAATAAAACTCAATATACCAAAACACTTCCACCTTGTGTAATTAAAGTTCAAACATAGAAATTCAATAAGGATTTATCTAATTGTCTCAATGATAGATTATGAAAGTTTTCAACATCATACCTATCAATACATGAATATTTGATAAATTTCTTATTTAAAACCAATAATGGATGGGAATTTAACTCAATTAAAAATCTACTCACGTCTAATGGCTCTCAACCCCCGGCAACAGTGTCATTTGATAAAACAAAATTGAGGGTTATTGAAACTGCCTAAAATCAGTTGCCCAAAGACATTTAGAATCCTGAATTTACTTAATTGAAATACTAAAACAAGTGAGTATTGTGGTAAGCTCAAGGTCAATCCACAAGAAATTAGAATAAAATGATAGGTAGCTACTATTATATTTAATTGATATACTAAGATGAGATGAACACTAAGAAGAAGAGGCAATGGTAAATAAGAAGCATATTTACCGTGGAAAAGTAAGAAACAAAAATTCAACAATGTGGAAGATGATAGAGAGGAGAAACATTCATAGAAGAATCATAATGCAAAATCAAAAATGTGAATCTATCTATATCAAACCTTCAAATACCTAGGTGATTGTTTATGCACGGAACACATCAACCCTAGAAAAACTTACTTCAGGCCTCTATATGTTGCCAAGGCTAGATGGTTTTCTCTTCAAGTATGCTTCTTTGATGATCTAAGCTGTAAATTCATACTTGAATCAAACCAAAATACATCTAAATTGATGCAAAACCTTAATACTATTTCATTTGAGCCAATTAAATGTTGGGGCACTTTAAGTTAGGTTTTTAGCCACTAAACAACAACTTAAATGTGTAAGGGGTTACACGAAGGTATAGATTACATGTGTAGGACTGATATATGCCTTCTCGTGAGCATCTAATCTAGGGGTGTGAATGAGTGAGGGTCTTTCCATCTTTTTGGTTGCAATAAGATGGGGCAAGAGTCGACTTCCTCTTAGGCTCATTTGAAGCATTGGATTTTGAAGTCTTCTCGTAGCCATAGGATCTTCCTTAATCCTAAGATCTGATACTCCTAGATGTGACTTAGTCATTGTATAGTAAATCACACAAATTTAAAATTTATAAAACTAGAAAATACGAATTTTTAGATATTTAGAAGTATTTTTTAAAAATATATCAATTATAATTCAATAAAACATCCAAAAATAATGGTAATTTTCTAGGTTGATAGGGATGTAATCTAATATCAGGTAATTATTTAGAATTTTTTTCAAAAAATATTATTTTTTATAAATTTTAAACTAAGAAATAAAAATAAAATATATTTAAATTTCACAAAAAAAGAAAATAAGGGTTTGGACGTCAAGATGACATCAACGCTCAGCGAAAGTTAATTGTAATTGAGTAGAAATAGAGTTCCACTTGACAATTCTTATGTAAGTAATTATAGATAATTTAATTGATCAAATTAAGATTTATAAAAGCTAAAAAAAATGTAATTGAATAAAGTATAGCTTGATAAATTTAAATCACACAATTATCACTAAATGAAGTGAAAATTAAGTTGAAAGTAGGAAAATAGAGTTCCAACGTCACTGCGGTGATGCGTTGGTGATGTACTAGAATCTTGAGCATTCAAAAGGATCGTCGCATAGTGTCCATAGCCTCAAAGGCTCTCTTTAGACAAAGACAACGCGGGCAATCTCTAAATCTCCTTGTGAAGTCTAAAGATCAGTAAAATGAGTCGTTGAATCATCTCTGCTAGCTTTCACCGGACGAAGTGGAAAAACATCGACTTTGTGGCTCTCCGGCAACTATCACCTGACGAAGAAGAACCAAATGGAGGTGGGGTGCGTATTAGGGAGCTTCATCCTCAGGTTCGTGAAGTAAGAGGAGGCTCTTCATTGCATCTGATATGCTCTTAAGAGGTGGTGACTCATCTCTCAACATATCATCTTCTTCTTGACAATTGTTTGTTTGTTGATCAATCGGAGATACTTTACTCGATGATTCAGAATCTTTTTATCATGAATCATTAAGCAATTTTAGTAATAATGCTCTGCAAATCGTGTTGATGAGATTTTCATCAATGATCTAACGATTCTGAAGGCTTAATCATTCACCAGTGATCTGTAAGAAAGTCACAATAATCAAATAAAAAATATGAGTTTTGGCTCTAAAAAGATTTGAACTCACACTAGTTGCCTATCTACATAAGAGATATTGAAATAAGTACTCTAATGCCCTTATCAAATGACATCATCATAGTATACTCTATTATAAATAAAAGGTACTATAGGTATTACAATTATCAAAGCCTTCTAGGGAAGATGTGATGCGGGTTTAGTCTCATAACATTGATGTGCTGAAGATTTAGATGAATATATAGTAATATTACATTTACAAGTAAGTCCCTTTCTCTTGCATGTACAACTACTTTTTGCTCCACACCTAATTAACCATCAGTGACGTGGAAAAAGAGTGGTGCACACATGCCCCCATTAGTCTTAGCAACTCAAGCTCTTACTTACGGCTCTTCCTTAACTACACTTCCAACCCGCTTGCAAGCCCGATTCGCTAGTGAGTATCCCCCATTTTGTTATATTTTTATTTTTATTTCTTTTTCTTTATTTATCTCAAAAATAAGATTATAAAAATCATATAAATTCATTAAAAAAATTACATAATTAGTTAAAAATTCATATTAATTAACTGAAAATCATTTTTCACACTTCAACACAAATCCAAGTCTATTTATCATGAGTTAACATTAAAACTATATTATTTACTAATTATTAACTCATGATAATGAAGACTTATCACTCTCCTAATAATTATGCTCCATCTATCATCAATCATGTAGAGACTCTCAATGGCTTCTATCTCCTTCTTTGGTGATGTCACTTTTCAACGCCTTGACCCTTGATTTCATCACACCATCTCTAGATCAAATCTCATCCTTAGAAGTATGCATTGACTTCCTAAACATCATAAAAAGATATCAAAAAAAAAATATTCTCTCATATTAGTAAAAAAAATCAATTATGATTGTACAACTTGATAGAAAAATATCAAAAAAAATCTAAAATATTAAAATTTATCAAAATTTAAATAAATAAGATATTTATATTTTTTAAGATAATAACATACCAAATCATAAAAGTTAAGCTCTTGAATAGAATAATTCTTACTATTTTCGTATGATAATTAGCATGTTATCACCAACTACTAACCTAGAGGGTGTCACACACAAGTCGAAGACATGAGCTGGGGAAGCCACAAGTTAGGGGCCTCAAGTGGCTAATGACCACTTAGAGCACGTGTGTCACTCTCCTTCTACGTCACCAGGGGTTAGCTAGGCGTGGGGTAAGAAGGGATCTCCTTGCACATCACTTAAGGTTGAATGCTACTAGAGCCAAAACTCATATTTTTTACTAATTAAATCACAATTTTACTACAAATTGTGATGAAATAATTAATCCATGAGAATCAATTAATCATCGGTAAAAATCTCATCAATGAGTTTCATGGAGCATCATTACTAAATTGTTAAATGATTCTGATAAAAGATCATGAATCCATCAAGTAAATCATCTCTTATTGATCAACGAACAAGTCCTCATCGAGAAGAGGATGATCCGTTGAGAGATGTGTCAACACCTCTTGAGAGTGTACTAAATGCGATGAAGAGTCACCTTTTACTGTGAAGACTTAAGAATGAAGCTCCCTAAGTGCACCCCACATCCATCCAACTTATCTATGTTGGCTGATAGCCATCAAAGATTCACAAAGTCATCATTTTTTTCTAATATTTTTTAATTTTAGAAATATTTAAATTTAAATGATTTATTATACAACAACTAAGTCACGTCATACCCATTTTTATTTTATCATAGTGAGATGAACTCAAAAAAATAGTCTCCTTTCTTAAGACATTAGAACTAAAACTTAAGAAGAGAGCTGAACCTAATGAAGAGCTTATGAAAATATTTAAATAGGTTCAGATATCTATTCTTTTG